ATCCAAATTATATTTTAGATTTTTTATATTTAAAATGAGATGTTTATCCTGTATTTGATTGTGTTTATTTGCAGTTAATTACACGAATTCAGATATGTGATGAAATCGGATAGGGATGAACGGGTTTAAGATTTTTTAAGAGTTTAAGAGTTTTAAGAGTTTAAGAGTTTTAGTCAAATGCTTTATAATATAGTATAGATATATATATATATATAATCATATAAAAAATAAACATAAATTAAATACAATTATATTTAAAAAATAATAATATGTCTTCACCTGATTAATGGAATAGTAAGGGAACATGAATTTTGTGACAACAAATTTTTATTCCAAATTTACGTTCATTGATTTTGTAAAAAAAAAAAAGTATTTAAAAATAATATGATTTATATAATTATGATATAATAAATGGGTTATTGATAATTTTATAACCCAATCACACACACATATATATACGCGCGTGTGCACGCGCGCACATACATATATGTACATATATATATATATATGTGTGTGTGTGTGTGTGTGTGTGTATGTGTGGGAGAGGTTTACTTTGCAAACAGTTTATTTCATATAAACTTTACAAACAAAACATATTCATCCATTTTTTGATTAAAGACCAAAATCGAAACAAACTAAATAAGTAGAGTAATAAATAAAAGAAAAAAAATTCATATCAGAGACACGGAAGGGCAAAACGGGGAAAACATGTTATATGAACATGTTTCGTTATAGTTGTTATACATATGAACTTGATGCAATCATATATGACATATAAACATGTTTTACTGCAATTGTTATACATATGGACCTAACGCAATCATATATAGCCTAGTTCTATTACAGTTGTTATACATATGAACTTGTTTCATTACAAACTATTATATATACATATGAATACAAACTTATTTCATTACATCTGTTATATATATGGACCTGATGCAATCATATATGAGTTTGTTTCATTGAATTGTTTGAGCCTGTTTAATTGAAAATCAGTGGCGAGAGAGTGAGGTTGTATATAGCTGGCTATCTATGTTATGGGATATTATTCACTTGTTGTATCAGTATGACTCAATCTTTATCATGTATTTGAATTCTTTTTTTTTTATTAACCTGAATATCCAACCCGCTATGCGAGCCAACTAATCTCAGGGTGACCACCTACTTTGCAGATAGCTTGGAGTCACCGCATTTGAACCTCTGTGGCCACAAGGGGATTTTTATTCCTCCTTGGATTTGAACTTGGGACTTCCTGATACTTTTGATATTTGGAGCCAAGTTCAAACCAACCAGGCACCACCCTTGTGGTTCATGTATTTGAATTTGAATGCTTATTTTGTTGTAAAGCTTCAAGAATTCGGATGCAAGCAGTAATAAATCGTAAATGTTTTACAGTGTTTGAAATTTGAATATATTGATGACTGGAATTTTGAAATCGGGTTTTAATCTTGAATATATATCTACAGATATCAAATTAAAGATAATAAAATAGTTGTTTGTTATATAACTCGTTTGATTAAAATATAATTATAAACAATACGATTTAAACTTAACAAAATAAGCTAAATCTATGAAGTTTATAATTTAGTTATGAGCAAATTGCATGAAAAAGTGACGTACTTTTAACTTGATTACTATTTTCGGTAATGTACTTTAATTTTGGTACCTAAGATGTAAACTTTAAACCATTTAAGTACCCGAATAACCGATTGAAGACTAATTTTAGATTAAAAAAATATATGACACTAACCACGTAAACAAATAATATTGAGTTGGATACCACTTCACTCGCCACATCAGCATGATAACTGGTTAATGTTTCAACCGTTTATCCGGGTAATTAAATGTTTAAAACTTTACATCTTAGGTACTAAAACAAAATTTTTGAAAGTATATGATTCAAAATAGGAATCAAGTTAAAGTACATTACTTTTATATGCAATTTGTCTTTTAATTATATGAAATTTAAGAATTTATATAAACAATAATAAAAATAATAACTTAATTACATCGTTCTGATTCTTTCATGGTTATAGAAAGTTCACGATTACATAATATCAATATTATAAAATAGATAACAGTTTTGATCTATTTACCTGAAATGGTAAAATCAGTTCGATAAATATCGTATTAATATTTGTTTTTTATTTTATTTAAAGTTACAAGTTTAGCTGAAAGTATAACACAAGGGTGTGCAAAACCCGAATTATCCGAAATCCGAACTCAAAGCTGAACAAAGAATAAAGTATTTATGTAAACTCGAATGTCCGAAAATCCGAAAACGAACATATAACTTATTTGTATATATGTTCAGTAATTGTGAACATACATACATAGGGCCGTAAACGAACCGAACGAACACAAACAAATGTTTGTTCATGTTCGTTCGTGTAACTTAACTGAACACGAACGGTAAACGAACGAAAATCTTTGTGTTTGTGTTCGTTCATTTAAAAATCAGGTGTGTTCGTTTATGTTCGTTCGCTAACATGCTAAACGAATGTAAACGAACGGACTAAACGAACATAAATAAATATTATTTGAATTCAAGTAAATAAACAAAATATTATATATTAAATTTAATATATATAAACGAATGAATATAAACCAATGGTAATGAACGAACGTTCACGAAGATAAATGAATGAACGTTCACGAAGATAAATGAATGAACGTTCACGAAGATAAATGAATGAACGAGACTCTTGTTCATGTTCGTTTGTTTAACTAAATGAACAAAAAAAATCTTCCTGTCCGTTCATTTATTAAATAAACGAACATAAACAAACTTTCCGTCAAACGGTTCACGAACAGTTCGCTAAACATTCGGTTCATTTACAGCCTCTATATACATGTAAATCGAGAAAATTCATTGTATGTGATATACTTAGGATTTAAAAAGTATGGATAAGTTGTACAAAATCGTTGTTGATGAAAAAAAATATCATGAGTAGACTAGAGAAAACAACATATTAAATGTTAGAAGAACATTTTAATATATATCAAAGTATCAACATGTTTAACTCGTATGGTTTGAGATGAGAGTGAAATTTTTTAAATCGCCTACATTGAATTAAGTTATTTAAATATCTTTAACCCGATCAACTAAATCCATAAAACATCTACTTTTCACTTTTTATTTTTTTTTGAAAAAGAAAATGTTTATAAGAATGAGATAAACTTATCAAATAAACTACACACGTGGTTTATATATATATATAAATATACACATACATATACATATAGATATACACATATATATATATATATATATACACACACATACATACCTACACATATATATACATACACACACACACATATATATATATATATATATATATATGAGGTTTATTTTGCAAACCACGTTATTTGTACAAACCGTACAAATCTCATTTAACCAATCATAATTTTTTTTTTTTTGTAATTATAAAAGATTGATTAATCATTTTTATTATGAATGATGTCATTCATGGATATTATCATCTTCATTATATTAATTTTAGAAAAATATATGAAATAATTTCATTAAAATTTTATAAATATTATATAAAACAATTTCAGAACCATATATGAAATAACTTTATCAAAAAAATATTATATGAAACAATTTCAGAATCATATATGAAATAACTTTATCAAAAAAATATTATATAAAACAATTTCATAAAATTAAATAATTTCATAAAATTAACAATAAAATCGACGAATAAGAATAATTTACACGATTTATACAAATAAGAGTGGTTTCCATTTGATCATTATGTCCCTTTGAACATATATATTACGAATAAAAGAGTTAAAAATTGATGATTGGTAGAATGTAAGCACGACGTTATCTGAATGTGCCACACACAAATAATACCCCCAAACACACACTTCCGTAATTAACACCAAATCCAAGCCCCTTCCTCCATTGATTCCCTTATTTATTCTTCCTCCTTCTTCCTCCTTTCATCTTCTCCAATCTCCCTCCTTCTGAACATGCAATCTAACTTACACCCCCTGTTCATCCCAATCTTTCTCCACTGGTAATTCCTCCGCCTTTTGTTGGCCGTCATTTGGCCGAGCCGAGTCTACCATGACTCGGCGATGCTCTCATTGTAGCAACAACGGCCACAACTCACGCACCTGTCCATCGCGCGCCGGTGGTGTCAAGTTGTTCGGCGTTAGACTCACTGATGGTTCTATCATGAAGAAGAGTGCCAGTATGGGTAATTTATCTGCTCTATATCACTCATCTTCTCCGGCTGCCGTCTCACCTAATCCTAGCTCCCCCGCCACTTCTGACCCCGTAGAAGGTTACCTTTCCGATGATCCTGCTCACGCATCTTGTTCCGCTAAACGCCGTGCCGATCGCAAAAAAGGTCAGTTTAGGTTTTTTTTTTTTTTTTTGAATTTTGGTATCATTCGAGATGGCAAATTTGCAATCGAATTGTTTGGTCTTCGTACATCATTATTGTTATTGAAATGTGATTGGAGAGTCTTGGATGATGATTCATTCAACTACAGCAATCATATTTAATCATTTTATGCGATGATGATGATTAGGATCCTGATCGTTGATTTATATCACATATTTATATATCGTTATATTTTATATTATCTTAGGGTTGTGAATTTAAATTAGATAATTGCGATGTGGTCCTTTTGAGTGGATGTCTTTGCCTTTATCACCTTTGGTTTTGTATTGGACCATGTTTGTATGCTTAGTGGTTTGCCTTTTTGTTTTTGTTTGGAAAAACTAGAGTTCCTCATAGGGAAACAATTGTTGTAAAACCAGAGTGTATATGGTTAAAGAGACAGAAGTAAGAATAATTGGCCAAATTTCATAGGGGGTCCTCAGAAAGTACCTGACTCTTTGGTTTTCTAGCTATTTGTCTTATTTTCTTTTCATGTATCTAGTCGTGAATTCCAAACACATGAAACATTATCATTCTGAGAGGTTGGACCAGGTGTGGTACTTTTGCATAACAAGTTGCAATTTAATATAGATGAATAGTCCCCAATTTTTTGACAAGATGGGGAGAGATTAACTATTTTTTTAGGCTCTGGTACAGCTGGGAGGCTATCCAAACATATATGGGGAATACTGATATATCTATGCTATTCAGGATTAAGTTATTTATGCTAAAAAATCTAATTTATATGGATTCATAAAATTATATCTAAACCCCATGTTTGACAGTCACTCAATGGTCATGGATATGCTCTGTATGATCATTACATCTACTATATCTTCGGCAAGAACAAAATTATCTCATCAGTGCTTAGTGAAAGAAGTAACAATTTAAAATACCAGCTTACATTTAGCTGGACTTGGAAAAAAGCACTAACGAAAAAGTGATTTTGAGTCATACAACTAGTACCCTTGAATCCACCAAATAAGCCAATCTTTTCGTAACACATGCCATTTGTATATCATAACTGAAAATGATGACCAGTTTGTTTGTGAAGCGTTGGAGATTATATGGTAGGGTGTCAACATTTGCTTGTATCATATCAAAGTGATTCAAACCATCTTGTTAGTAAGACTGGCTCACCTATTTTTCTAAGAATGTGAACCACTCTAACTTGTGGAGGCTGCTACTAGAAATTGAATATTCAAGATCTATCCCATTCCATGGTGTAAACTTAGAATAAAAATATGTCGTCCCCAAGTATCCTGTCCCTTCCATGTCCACCGATCATGTAAAGCCACATCAGCATTTTGGTGAGGAGAGAGAATAAAACAGATGAATTAAATAAATTTAATTAAGTCAAATAATTATGTGTATTCACGTGATTGGTGGGGTAGGGAGGGGATAGGAGATTTGGGGACAACATATTTTTAAGGGGTTTGTATGTGTGTATGCCACAAAGTGACCGATAAATCCACAAGACGGAATTATGACAAAAAAATCCCGGGCAACAACATAGCTAACTCAAAGCTGTTTTAATTGGTCGAGGGTAAACATGTCCATCACAACTATATGGTCTTAAAAGCAAAGATTTTGCGGCAATGGCGGATCCAAGATTTTTGTCTACTGGGAGCACCTTTAAGGTAGATTAAAGGCCTGCAAAGTTGTCCGTGTGTTTTTAGCCTAATTCCATCTTTTCAAGGGTTTTTTAAAGTTTTTTAATTGACTTCGAGAGATTTTTAAGTTTTTTTGTCGATTTCAAGGGACTTTTTCTGTTTTTGTTGTTGATGTTGAGATGCTTTTTTGTTTTTTTGGTTGACTTCAAGGTAATTTTTTTGGTTGGTGGGGACACAGGCCGGAAATTACTGAGGGGACTGGTAGAAAGTTAAAGAAAAAATTGTTTTTAACCTAAGTAATTAAGAATTCTTTTTTTTAATGGGGGCCCATCCCCCCACCATTTATATGCTACATCCGCCCCTGTTGTGCGGAGTCCTTAAAAAACTGTGAGGCCAATAGACATAAGTTTCAAACATATGTTGAAGATGTGAAGGAATATACCATCTCAATGTTTATATCTCTGTTTTCCGAGAGATCAGCAATAATCTGAACATGTGCAAGTATCTTGAACTTGCTAAATCAAAAGGGATAGTATTGTCGGGTTGCTAAGTCAAACAGAATAAGCCAAAGAAAACTGAAATGGATATTTTTCAAAACTTTTATTGACCAAAGCTGTCTTCTTTTTTTAAAGTGTATAATATTTATATACGACAAATAGAACAAATAAACTCACACACCCTCCTCACCAAAAGGCCAAAGGCCCTTTGGAAAGAAAGACTAATATAGAGGATGAATGTCAGTGTGTTGTCAACTTATATCTCTGTATAATCAGTATGTAAATGAATTTGGATTATTCTGGAAACATAAAGCTAAATATGTAAATGAAATTGAATAATCCTGGAAGCATAAAACTAACTGCTGAAAGATATTGTGGAGAAATTACCGAGGGAATTCAGGAAAAGAGTCCCTAAGAAAAGCATATGTGACCTACTAGTTATTCCATAAACTAAATTTGGAGGCTAGCACAATAGAAGGGATAAACACTTTGCACCTGGTGAACATTGAAAGTACAGGTACCGTGTGAGATGTCTATGGCCTGTAAAATGCTTTTAGAGGGGTATTTCTTAACTTTTATGATATACCCAAATAATCTGGTATTTTCCATCCTCCTATGCTGCCAAAAAGCCACAAAACTAGCCATCAATGTCACTTTAGAAGATGGCTTCAATTGAGTACCTGTTAGATTACGAATCAGCACGTAATCATCCGATGAAATCTGTGTTTGTAATTTGTTGACCTTTCTTTCCCCTTTCTCTACAAGAACAGTAATGAGCCTTTGATCTCAGACTAGTTGGGACAAGCTAAAATTAAATCCGAATAGAAAACATTAGTAGGCAGCTCATTAGGGTGTACGGACACACATACCTTCCTTTAATGCACTCCTCTCTAAGGTAATTCCTTTGATGTATACCTCAACTCAAATCTAGTGCATTCAGAGGTTACCATTGGAGATCTCCAGCCCATGTACAAGATGTTTTTTCAGCTTTTGCTTAACTTGTTTCACCCGGCGTTTTTATTTCTAATCCTTTTTTATTGTATTCCACACATCCATCTCAACATTTACATTTCTGCTACATTCATCTTGCACGAAACTTACCTTTGAACTTCAATTGAACTTTCTGGTCACACAAGATGTCTCAAACTTGTCACCATTTCTTCAGTTCTACTATTGTCCTAGGACTAACGTTCTCTAATCTCTTCATCATTCTATGATACTGATCAAGAATTATGGAGCATATTCTTCCTAACTGCTACTTGTTTGGGCATACTCGTTTGTTTCCTTATTAGCATCATGCTATTTTAAATTTCATACACCTTTCTTTATCCATGTCTGATTTGAAACCTCTAGATTCCAAGGTATTTCTTGAGACCTCAAACTTTGCATTGACACTTTGACTTGTCTCTCCAAGCATTACATCACTGGTGGAAAGCATATACCATGGTATACTAGTCTGTATATCATCAGTGAGCTAACCCGTAACTATAAGAGAGACTTAAAGTTGGCCCATAGTGTGACCTTAAGTAACAGGAAAATACTTTATCTCACCTTCAACGGGTTTTTGTGCTTGTTACTTTGTCATCATACATAATGTTTAATCAGTCACATATGTTGTAGAAAATTTCCTCGTCTCAAAAATCCCACTACAACACTCCACTTAGCACCATATCATGTATCTTCTTGAGATAAATAAATATCATAGTCAAATTCTTTTGGGTTTGATGTCTAGTACCTCAACTTTCTTCAGCCACCTCCTGAATGCACGTCATCATTTCTCTGCACAACCTATTACATTCCCTTGCAATATTCTAAGTCAATCTCCAACGTTCAGTTGTTAAACATACTTGGAATATTTCCTTATTTCACCACCTAGTTCTGAGTTGCTAACATCCTTCATGACATCTGACCCCTTCTCATGAGGACAGAAAGTTATCTACCTAGATTCTTATCATTACTAAAAGATTAACTAGGTAAGAATCAGGTATCTGAAAGAGTGGTTACAACCATCAAATCAACTATTGCAAAATTCAAGATTTCTTTTCCTTCTCGATTCTTATTACCATATGCTTATCTCTTATGAATTTTTTAAGCGTCCCTCTCTTCCTAATACAGCCATTAAATCTCATCTCATAAAGAACTTTCCCTGGTTAGTATCCCCCGAACAACTTCTAAATCTTCCAGGATTTGTAAATTTATAAATTCCTCCAAACTTACCTTCCTTAGGGGCATATGCATTAATGACATTCATAGCCACCAAACCTGCAACTAGTTTAGCTAGCATGACGCTTTCTCCTTGCTTTTAAATTCCAACTACATCTCTCATCTCTTAGGGAGGGAATGGTTTTAAAGGATTTGGATTTCGTGGAAGGATTTGAAATCTTTGGTGTGTTTGTTTTGTAGGATTTGGAATGGAATTGAATTCCATTATTTATAAGAAAATTATAAAAAAATTCTAAATAGTTATAAAAATAATTAAATTACCTTTTTAGTACAAAACAAATGTTTTTAACATAATTTAAACCATTATTACATACAAATCCAATGAAATCCTGTGAAATACCAATCCCCTAGGATTTCAAAATCCTATGTTTGTGGGATTTCAATCCAGGAATTAAAACCAAACGTGAGATTGGAATGGAATTCAATTCCAAACCAATCCAATCCCACAAACTAAACGGGACCTTAGGGTGCATTTGGTATGCATGACAGGATGGTATAAGAACTTGTTGTTCCATGTTTGGTGCGAACATTCCGCGATTGGGTGGTACAACAATGCATTTTTTAGATAGGAAGATGGCACAATATTGGTAAATTACTAAACTACCCATGTCAAATTAAAATCCTAAAATCTTCTTGAATTCTTTCACCCACCTACCTACTCTCGCTCGTCTAGTCTAGTCCAATCCAGTCTAGTCCGCGTGCTAAACACACCCTTAAAGTACATACCCTATTCCTAGACTTATCTATCGGAATCTTTGCTTTGTGTTTAACACTTGTCCTGGAAGTTTCATCTTACTTGCATAGTTTTGATGAATCTGGACAATTTGCGCATATATATTATTCTTTAACAGGAATTAATTGATTTCAACAAAATTTGACACACGATATTGAGTAGTGCATTAAATACTTGCAGGTACTCCGTGGACAGAGGAGGAGCATCGATTGTTCCTACTCGGTCTCCAGAAACTGGGCAAAGGAGACTGGCGTGGCATAGCACGCAATTACGTCCTGTCCAGGACTCCTACTCAGGTTGCTAGCCATGCCCAGAAGTACTTCATAAGGCAATGCAGTGCTACTCGAAGAAAAAGGCGTTCTAGCCTTTTTGACATGGCTCCAGATATGGTTTGTCTTGCTTCTTAAATATCAAATCTTTCACTATATTCACACACACACACACACAAGGAAAAAAGATGAATGATGAAATAACCATAAATGTCTTTTGCATAATCTATATATGAAGTCTGAGGCACTACCAAATCGCTTGTGGCCATGGAGGTTCACATGCGATGACTGCAGGCCTTTTGTGGTTGCCCGGGGATTACTTGGTGAGCATAAGTTGGCCCGGAAACCCATGGTTACCCAGAAAAATGTATCTATGAGGAATTAAATAGGAAGAATGGAGAGAATAATATAAAAATTAAGAATTTTTAGGATCTCACTGGGATGTTGAACAAAAAAATCTTGTACTCATGGTGGTATATAATAGTTCACTAGACATACGACATAACAAAAATTTTCTAGACTGAGACAAGACAGGACTTGGGGGCTGTTTGGTTGGTTTTACATTCTTGTATGGATAAAACTGTTTGTATAGGTTGAGAACGTTTTTGTGTGGGAGAGTTTTTCATAGATAGAATAAACGTGCCTTTTAATTGGGAAGAATAGGTTTGGAAAAACATGACTTTCTGCATAAAGCTCCCCCCTTAGAAGCTTAATGGATAAAGCCATTTTCTATATCATTAAGCCGCTACCAAACAGTCATATATAGCCGACCAAATAAGAGGCGAGTCTCATTAAGCTCATAAGCTTCTAACAAAAATGCCCTTAGTGGGATTTTTGTCCCACCAAATAGGTGGAAAAAAAATCTTGGAGATTGAGACATGATTAATAAATTATAAACTACCCATGTCAAATAAAACCCTAAAATCTTGCAAAATTCTTTCACTCCGTCTACTTTGATCTCGCCTGTCCAGACCTGTTTGCCTACCAGACGCTACCTTAAGAATTCTTCTCGATATAATTTAGTGCCATCGCTTTGCTTTTTGGTAATCGGGTATAAACTTCCAGTTTTATATGGTTCTTAGGGACGACGTTTTATTTCAATAAAACTTTTTATATGAAAACGGGTGTTTCGCAGGCTGCAGAACCGCCAGAAGATCATTTCATGCTCCCTCCAGCGATAGGTACGGATCATACCGAAAAAACCCAGTGTTCATTGAAACTCTCTTTGAAACCCGATTCCGATCAATCTATGGACACTGCTTCTCCAATCGAGATGAAAGAAGCCATGATCAAAGAAGAAACATCAACGACCGTAAGTGAACTCCCACCAATAATACCGACATTTTATCCCGCTTACATCCCCATTCCGTTCCCCGTATGGCCATCAACCATGACCCCACTCGAAGAACCAACTAATAATAACGACAATAACAAAGGAGCAGATCCATCTCACCATCGAGTCTTGAAGCCGATCCCGATCCTTTCAAAAGAACCCATGAATCTAGACGAATTAGTCGGAATGTCGTCACAGTTGAGCCTAAAGGAAACCGAGCCTTCACCTCTATCGTTGAAATTACTGGCGGAACCCTCGAGACAGTCGGCGTTTCATGCCAGTACTCCGGCCGTCGGAAACGGTGGTTCAGGTGTAAACAAGGGTGGCAGTAATGGTTTCCGGCCAATTTGAAATGTGGTTTGCCATGCAAGTTACATGGGGTGTTAGATTAGTGTGTTTTGGGGTTTTAAATATATTTTATTCTTTTATTTTTATGTAAACGAAAAAATAATACGTATTTAGGAGTTTTTCATTTTTTATTTTTATAATAATTTATGTTTTTTTGTAATGTAAACAGTGTTGTGATTGATGTTTGATGACCTAATGAAAACATATTATTATTCAGTTTGTTTTTAAGTGTCGTTGAAGTTTGAAGTCTAATTTTACTGATTAATAAGAAGTGGAGTTGATTACTGAAATATGAATACAGAATCAATAAGGCATTGTTTGTTTTTTTTTAAATATCTCTTATCCAGGGGCAGATCTAGTGCATGGTGGTAGGGGTCCTAGGCCTCCAACAAACCCACCAATATTTTTTTGAAAAAAGCTACAAAAAGATTTGTTTAGTAAATTTTCCTATTGTATGTTCAACAACATTAAGGTAAGGGTCCCCAATTTGATATTCTGATTGTTAATTGGTCTATTTGCAGCACACAATGATATTATCGTTCGAAATATAAAATATAAAAATTATGCACCTCGATGAATTAGTAAAAAGTCAAATGAAGATCGACTGAAATAAGTTATCTTTATTCTGTTAACTGAACCGTTTAAGTCGAAAAAGAAAACCCAAAACCGTTTTCATCCGGATGAATTATTTGGTTTTGAATTCTTTTTTTTTCACACCCCTAAGTATGCCGCCAACTATAAAAGTATCTGGATCCGCCACTGGTCTTATCAGTCTTATGTTTGATTCAGTAAGAGCTAGGACAATTCAGACCGTTTGTTTTTTTCCAATTTTTTAGACGCTCTTATGTTTTAGTGCGTTTTGAAAAAATTAAGAGGTAACCTAAGGCTGATGACGGATGTTGAGTCCAAATAATAAGTTCCAACTATTGGCAATAACAGTAAATCGGGTCGAATCCACAACGACTCGGTTTTAACTTATTGTTGCCAAAGAATCCAAGTATAAGAACGAATAATTAAAACATGCAATTAAAATAGATTAAAAAAACAACATATTAAAAACCCAACAATAATTTACTCTCGATTAAAGTGCAAATACTTATCATTGATTCTGGAAATGTAAAGTAGTAAAACAAATCCAAATTGACTATGTTATCAAAAAGCTCTGATAACCTAGATTTTTTCTTAGATAAACATTGATTAAAACATACTCTTTAATCAAATTTTAATCTCACATGGGAATTTGAACAAGTTCTCAAATTTCGAGGTGCGATTAGCATTAACGAGTTAAAAAATACCAACTCGAAGCAATAAGCACACAAGCTCGACTTATTGAAACTTCTCGCAAGAATTCAAGAAATTGAATTGAAAACCTTATCGAGACCAAAAAGATTTCATTCGTCAGTTTATCAAAATCCCTAGACAATTACAGATTGTAGGGTTTCAAATAACAAAGATTCATAAGAATATTAATTAATTGATCAAGTTAATTAACGATTCAAACGAAAGTGACATTCAAACGAAATTCACGCAAATAAACATGTGCCACAAGATTACAACGAAATCTCAAAGTAAATGCAACAGGAGCTAAAGAAAAACCATTGTTGGAATCGAAAAACGTAGTGACACATGGCTAAGTTGAGATTACAACTAAAAACGGGAAGAAAATTATCAAAAGTGAAAAGAAATTGATGAAAAAACGCTTCCAGTTGATCCTTTGCTCTCTTCAATTCGTTCCTAGAAGTCGCTTCCCTTAGAATGACCATTTTCACCCTTAAAAACCGACTCCCCCACTAAATAACACGTCATTGGAAACGTATGCTTCTGAGTTTTTTTCATTTTAAAAGTATGTCTGAGTCCTTTATTTGAATAAGTATGCCCAATCATCATTTGTAAAAATATGCCTTCTTTAAATTTTGAAAAACTATGCCTCATCTTGCAATCATTTAAAAACTATACTCCATAGAGACTTGGCGACATTTTTTTCTTCTTCTAATTAACCTGAATATCTAACCCGCTATGCAAGCCGACTAATCCCAGAACGACCACCTGCTTTGCAGATAGCTCAGAGTCACCGTATTTGAACCTCCGTGGCCACAGTGAGATTTTTAATAGAAACCAACCAAATAATCCATAAATGGCGTACTTTAACAAAAAAAATCTCCTATTATTTTTGTTAGAATATTAATAAAAGAAAATATTTTCTTTAACAAATTAAAAAAAAGTAAAACCCAAAGGTGGTGTCTGATTGGTTTGAGTTTAAGCTTCATAGGTCAAAAGTGCCTAAAGACCCTAGGTTCAAATCCAAGAAGAAATAAAAATCTCCTTGTTGTCATGGAGGTTTAAATATGGTGACTCCGAACTACTCGTAAAGCAGATGATCATTCTAGGATTAATGGATTCGCATAGTGGGTTAAATATTCATGTTAATAAAAAAAAGTATTATATTTTACATTATAGTAACCATTTATTAAAATAAATTTGACAAATAATCAAAATTAAACTAATTCGCGCCTAATACAAAATTTGAATAAATCCCTTATCTGGAGTCAACAAGTCAATGTAACGTATACGACAATATCAGCTTACCACACGGGACACGTGTTTTTATATCCAGCTGTTAGAATCTGATTGGATTGTCATCGTTTTAAAGGTGACCAACATGTGACACTACTGAGACTTGTTCATGCAAGCTTTGCAGCTTTGCCATCTATCAATCGGCCCTCTGAATCCCTCTTAATCTAAACCCTAGATTTCCCCTTTAAATCTTATCGCAAACACTTGCAATTCGCATTTCAGACCAAAATCAACAAACATCGCCGCCTCTCTCTCCTCTCTTTCTCTCTCTACCACCGCCGACGACCTTCCGATCGATATGGCTTACGGAGTACCGGCGATCAACGACACTACCAGCAACATATCGGAATCAGATTCCGATGATATCTTTGAAATAACTGAAGACGAGTTCAATAATCGGAATCTGGTGATTGGATCGCCTGTACCGGCAGCTGGTGAGATTGAGAAGGATCCGATCTATATAGACGACGATTTAGGTATTTACGAAGAATTAGACGATCTGGTGCAGGTTGAAAGTGATGATGATCATCAGATCTGCATCGGAAGGAACAACCAAAAGATATCGTGGGGGTTTTGTGTAGACCAGGGGATGAGAAAGTATATGGAGGATCGGATTGTGACTTTTCCGTCGTTTATGTCACTGCGATGCGACAGTTTCGGTGGTTGCACAGCGCCTCACTGTAGATTTGCGTCGGAGGTGACTCCGATTCACTACTTTGCCGTCTTCGACGGCCATGGAGGCTCTCAGGTAAATAAATAATACTTTAATTAATTATTTAAACACTGAAATTTTGACGTATCTCATAAATGGACTTCGATTTGATATTCTTTTTGACATATTTATTCATAAACAATTTTTAGTATTTCAGATACCAGTTTCTTGTTTAATGTTTAAGATGATTATATGTTATACGAAATTTTGTCGGATTGTCGAATATGTGGCTACAATATGTATGGTATATAGAAATGTATCATTTGCTCAAATGATCTCGATTATGGTATATAGAAGCTAAAATTGTGTATATTACTTAAAACTATAAAACATTTATATATATATATATATATATATATACTATATTATAAAAACATTTGATAAAAACTCTTAAAAACTATTTTTTAATGCACAAAGTATTGTCTGTTGATGCATATTACTTAAAATTCAAGATTATAAGTAAATTGTGTGTAAATACAACTTATTAAAACTACATATTTGAATTCGTATAACTAACTGCAGATAAACATAATCAAATACAAGAAAAACAACTCATTTTAAATATATAAAATATAAAATATTAATATCGATATCAATATATTTTCGAATTTATATTTTATTCAAAAATAAAAACATTATCGCTTCTTCAAAACCACATAAAACCGTATTATATTCGACATAAAAAAGAATAAAATGAAACATTGAAATCGAGATGTGTCTTGATGTATTGCACGAGCACCCTTCTAGTGTATGTGTGTGTATATATATATACATCGAGACATATCTCGATTTCAATGTTTTATTGAAACACAAAGCATAAGAATAAAAAATAGAACATTTGTACGACAAATATGTCACACTAGTAGAAACATACTATACATACATGTCCATGTTCCGATGATACATATATATATATATATATATATATATATATAGTTTGCACATACTCTTACATGTAGCTTGTCCCGCTTGTTTGTTTTAATTGTTGTATTGCTAGTCAACCATCTTTATAGAAATAGTATCTCTACCTTTTAAGGTAGAGACGATGTTAATTTACATACATCCTATCTTCATACTCTACCTCTGAACGATTTTTATCGTGTTCGTTTGACTTGGTCTTTGTGTTGGCTTTGATATGTATATGATGTTAATTAATAACAGACAATGACCATAATTATACAGTAATTTTTTTGAACTAGTTAAGTACTGATGCATGTGACCAGTAGGTTATGTACGTGAAACTAATATATGTTAATGGGATTGATACACGTTGTTTAAATACGAAGAGATGCGTACTTCTTATAAAATATGAATACAGGTGTAATTTACAAGCTTTATAGATATCATATTACAACATCATTCAATACTTACATGCGTTTTAGTTTATAACATCGACTCTAAATGACAGTGTAATCACCACTAAATTGAACGATTAATTGTCAAATAGATGGATGATTATTAATCCGAACACGATGGTGGATTTTTCATTTATTAGATCCTTGGTCTGTTGTGGATAAAATATTATTTATATTATTATAATAAGGTTTTTTTGGGTATTGTTTTAATTGGTTTAATGGACTGCATGGCTTATTCGTTAAGTCATACAAAAATGATTGGTTATGCTTATTCGGTAAGATAATGACTTATTCGCTTAGCTTATTGGCCCTTGTTCTATCCATCCAGGCATGAAAAAGACCCCCTACTCCCTCTGTTAATCAAACATCTTCCATCACTGCCCCTTCTACACTTTGTATGCGATCCTCCATCACTACTCCATCCATGCCATCCTCACTGAAATGTCGCCCAACAGTGCCATCTAAGCCATCTTCCTTCACTGCTTCTCCGATCGTCACTGCTACCCTCTCTCTTCCCATCTTTCATCACCGCTTCCTTCTTTGGTTCTTTTTCTGATATTGTCTTTCTAAAGAGTTCTTGATTATAAATTTGATTTGAGGCATTTTGAAGATATCATGAAAGAAAAGGGTCAACTAAGAAAAGATTGAGATCCTGCTTCAATTTCAGTTCCACCGTTACAAGATGGTTATGTATTTCCTGATGTTTTCAAACACACACCAAAAAAAGGAACAAACAATATATGACATGAATATACATACTTATGCATTATCCATCCAAGTTATGTAATAATAAAGAGGATCTTGTATGAAAATCTTGATAGATTTAGGAACAACTCATAACATATTTTATAATAATAATAAAAAAAACAAATATTTTGTAATAAGACGACTTTGGTTATAACTTATTGGTTAAGATTCAAAAAGATGCAGTGGAAGTTGCATTTTCAGACATGAAGGTTTATATACAACGATTCCATTCCTTTTGTGGTCGTCCCACAAGATTAGTCAGTACGTGTAACTTGACCCGGATACTTACAATTATGAAAAGAAAAACTACTCTATAACAAAGTAAACAATAATTAAATAAATATAAGTTACGTGAATAATTAACCAGTAATAATAAAATAATGTTATTCAACATAATAATTAATTTAGAGTCTGTTTCTTAGCAGCTTAATGACTATCACAATTTATTCCCATATTTCAAGGAAGAAAGTCAAAAAAAATTCCGGTTATGCCCCTTCCTATTAAAAAAATACATTCTTCCCATCGATATTTTTTTTTAACAGAACCAAAAACACTTCGATCTGCACAAATATCTTAGGGGGTGTTTGAGATTGCTTATTTGAAATAACTTATGTTTTCCTATAAAAGTGCTTATCAGCTTATTATAAGTTAGAATGTTTTAACTTTTTCAAAAAAAACTTATTATCGGTTTGACACATGTATAAATTGTTTACCCACACACTCAAAATGCTTATTACCGCTATCATACCGGAATAAAATAATAGTATTCCTAGAACACCCCGGTATACAAGGACACCTTTATGGAGATGATGTAAAACCATAATCCGTATAATTAGAAGTAAACCGGCAAAGATACCTAAACCTGTTTTGGCGTATGCTTTCGATCACACATTTAAATCCCTCTCTGAAGCACTCCTCCTTGATGCGTCTTTATAATGCGTTTGGTATGCAGACTACATGGGACGAGATGGGACAAACAAAAGTCCCATGTTTGATATGCATCGGACAAAAATTACATGATACTAGATGAAACTATTTTTAAATTTGATGGGGATAGATTTTTGGTACAAACTATCTCACCCTTGGAAATCCAATAAAAAACCTAATTACTAAACCCTCCTTCATCATCGTCTCTTTTCCACCGTTCCAAGAGAGCTCCTTCCACATCGCCTCCTTCCACCGGCTTCTTCCACATCGGTATGATTTCTCTTTGCTGCATCGATTTCTTTTTTACGATTCTTTGCTGCGTCGATTTCGTTTTTGCGATTCTTTGCTGCGTACGATTCCATATCGTTCTTCTCTTGGATACAACACATATACCTGGAGTTGATCTTTTTATGGAACAATTCCAGGCTTAATTACAAAACTAATACCTGCTGGTTTACCTACTTACTACTTCTTTCTCTCCAAATGCTTCAATTTTCTATGATTATGCAGTTCCAAATTGAGGACCTCAAAGAGCCATTAAAAACCCATATGCATGTTCAAATTTCTGAATAACATGTAAAAATGGGTAATATGGTCATTTTTATTTAATGTATTAAACTTGATTATAAAAACTATGTAATTAAAATATATTTTAGTTGATTTGTTGTCATTTTACGATCATTATACGATAAAAATAACATTAAACAACATTTAAGGGTAATATAGTCATTTTAACAGTTTTGTCCGTTAAGGTTCAATGCATTTTAATGGTGGCGCGCGATATAATTGTGATAATTTTTAGATCTTGATTACCTTAGGAGAAGCAATCATATCATACTTTTGTAATTTATTGATTTTGTTAGATTTGATACGGACGCCTTGTTTCCTGTCTTAACGGCATTTGGTTGTCCACGGGAATTTAGGGAGGATGATGCAATTGATAAGTTTGTAGATCATTATTGGAATTTCTAATGGTATTTGCGTTTGCACCTTGATCTATTTGGATTTGAAGTCCTTACTAGATTGTCATATCTAGAGGATGTTGTGAGTAGGTTTCCATCCTAATATCACTTAAACTTTTTGCACCTGACCTTAGCAATCTGTTCAGCCAGCACATCTTCTGCACTGGTGTGCACCACTGATCCAATTTTTTTTTTCTTCCTCGCTAGCCTGCATACTGGTATGTGAGTCCCAACTGTGTGTATCCCCAGCCCCATGTTCTGTTTTTGCCCGTTGTGTTCTGGATTTTGGGTACTTCATGTTTGTATGGCATTTAGCCAAACGGAATAGAGGTCGTTTTTTTCTTTATGTTTTGGGGTACATGATGAATCAATATAATGCAGTTTGGTGGATATATGCTCAATTTTGTTTGATCCTCTGTTAGCCTGTTTCTGTTAAGTGTTTCTATTTAAATTGGTGCCAATTACATAAGCTACAATGTGTAGTTGTCATTCTAGAAGCAAGCTTCCGAGCCTCCTGCCTTCTTTTTGCAGAAATGCTTTTCATGATCTCAAACTCTTTCCTCGATTGCTATGTTTTCTTTCTTAGTTGTAAGTCTTTATGGAGAGTTGGTAAATTATCGTTTCCTTAGGTGAGTGTAATATTAAATACTTGGCAAGAGAATTATTGTTTCCTTAGGTGATTGTAATAGAGGCACACTTATCGGTTTTTCTTATTAGTCAAATTTCGCTTTCTCATCCTTCTCATGAGAGGGTATTATTGCGAGAGTGTAGAATGATATGGAAGAGTGGCAAGTGATAATATTGTCTAGCTATTTGCTTGTTCGACAATCAATCAGAAAGTACTTGTAATTGCATTAAGTAGAATTTGTACGTGAAAAGTTGATATGCACCAATATTTATAATAGAAAACCGTACAGTCATATGATAACTGTTTGATATCCTTTGAAAAGGCATTGTTGTTTGTCTGACTTCATTATGGACTTGGTGATCAAATTTAGTGTTGCATGCTAATGATATGATATCCTGTGTGGAGCGTTGTAGTCAAATTAACTTCATTATGAATTCGATGGAACCTTTGACAACTTGTAATCAAGTGTGCTAGAGGACTTATCATGTTCCCAAACAATTTAGATTGAGGAAAATGCATAATCAAGAAAGTTAGCAGAGGAGACATGGGATAATGATAATCTTAATATCAACTTCCTTGCTTTTTGGACAATTTAGAGTATCAGAGGCATGTTGGCCACCAATTAGACATTTAGACCTGTGAATAACTATTAATGCAAGTTCTCTAATGTATGGGAATGTATTGACTATTAGTGATACAACAAACCAATAAACTTTGATTATTTGTTTCATTGGCTCATATGTTATTTCATACTTGAGTTACTTGTACTTTCTTTCTCATGTTGTTGTGTTGGCGATTTGGTCTTATTGCTTAGTTGGTGTCTTTGGAATGCTTTATTAGCAATAGACATGAGAGGTCTGTCAAGTTGCCAAAGAGAGTTTTCAACATGATCCGAGCATGTAATCTTTAGGTCTTGATCAAAGTTTTGCTATGAAAGTAACTTTTAATACACGGAATTTAGTGGTAATAAATGGAGCTTTAAAATGATCTTTTACTCTGACGAAAATGCATGTTTGGGCTATCTATCAACCTTTTCCAATATTGCTGTTTCAATACCTATGTTGTAGGTCAAACAAAGTGTAAATTCCTTGCCTATTGCCGTTCCGATACCTATGTTGTAGGTCAAACAGAGTGTAAATTCCTTGTCTGATCCTTGATTAGTTTGCATCAATAACCATTGCTTTGAAGTGATGATTTAATTTTTTAGGTACGTTTTTATTCCCATTCCAGATGGATTTATGAAAAAGTTCATTTTGTAATGTGGCCCAACTCAGTTCCTATGGTTAGAGCCTAAGCACATTAAATTTTTTCCCATAACCTTAACAAGAAGATCGATCTTGATGTCATTTAATTGCCTAATCCCAAGTGTCTTCCGCTCTAATGTAGTCTCAGAATTTTTAAGGCCACATTGATATTGTTCACACTTAAGCACCTAAATTTTCAATCCGAACATGGTGTGTTTTTAATGGGCTTTATCCCCCTCTTGATTCATGGGGTTTATACCGTTAAATTGTAATAACGATTGTCGAAGCATTATTTTCCGTGGTAACCACCATTTATGCCATTTGAAGCTCTTTTTCCGTTTTTGTTGTTCTATTATCTGTTGGTTCTTGATTAAGAAAACTCTAGGCCGTTCAGAATGGGAAATCAGGGTTAAGATAATCCAAATGGGAAAGAAGACAAATCTGGTGATGCACTAGTTAACATCATGTATAATATTATTATTGTATAGTTCAGTAATTTCCTCTTATTTAGGTATGAGATCAACACTTGAAATTTTATAGGGGAGTGGAGTAAGTACAAATATTCTGACCTCATTTGCTGATTCCGCTTGTTGGTGACTAACATATGCGCATGTAATGTTTCTTTGATAGGAGAAGAGTGATGCGAGTATAGCAGAATCGGAAGATAATATAGAAAATTGACATCATTCAGGCTCTACAAGAACACATTCCAATACTGGACATTGAAATTATAACATCTTAGGTGAATCTCATATTGCCAATGAAAAAGGAGGATGTTGAGTAGGCCTGAAGAGGGTGTCTGGAATTAAAGGGCGGGAGTTTGTGACAACTCGTTCCATATGGGTAGCAAGTGAGATTTGTGAGCTCCTTATAAGCCTTAAGTTGTAGGCTACCAATAACCTCCGCCATGGTTAAGGTTGTAGGGCTTAGGGTTAAACCATCAAATCTGACTTCCTATTTTAGGGAGGTAACCATCAAATATACGGATCTAATATGAATTCCCTTTTTAGGGAACTAACCATCAAATATACATCTTGGATTCTGTTTGCTCATTTTCCAAGGTTTGAATTTAATGAATTGACTGGGATAGATAATCTTACTCTGACAAGGACTTTAATCATTATTTCATTGATGATGCAACAGGTCAGTGATCATTGTGCCGACTCACTGCATGAAGAAGTGAAAAAAGCATGGGAGTCTGAAGACTGTACAAATGAATGGAACAAAAGGTGGCAATCTGCTCTTTCTAGGGCTTATGACAGTGCCGATAAGGCTTGTGAGGAGGAAACTGGGGTTGGATCCACTGCATTGGTAGTGCTCGTTTCTGCTTGCCAAATTGTTGCTGCAAATTGCGGTGATAGTCGGGCCATTCTTTGTCGAGGGTCTCAAATCATTCCTCTGTCGGAGGATCATAGGGTCTCTTCACTGCCTAAAAATTTCACCTTTTCTCAATATGGTTTTTCCATTGTTTTCTTGGCTTGCTTGTTTATCTTTTCTTTGATATCTTCAAAACAAATTATCTTGACGGGCTGTTGACATATGCTTTCGCATGTCAATATATGCTGTTCAAGTCCTTCACCTGAATCAAAGTAAGTGGCTGTTTGGTTGGTTTTCCATTAAGTTCTATATGGATAAACTTGTATGTGTGCATTAATAGATTGGGAAGGTTTTTGTTTGGGAGGGTTTTTTCATGGATGGAAGGAGCATCTTTTATAATTGGGAGGGACATGTTTTTATAAAAATTGGCTTTCTGGATAAAGTTCCCCCTAGAAGCTTACTAAATAAGCCACTTTCTATATCATTAAGCCACTACCAAACAGTCATGTATAGCTAACAGAATAAGTTGCGAGTCTCATTAAGCTGCTCACAAACAGCCCTAAATTCAAGATATAGTTAATGGTTATTCCAATCAACTATCCTAATGTGGTTTACCCCCAAAGTCTCATGCTATTATCCTTACTTTCTAGATATATTAGTGTTTGCTTGTTTCACCGGTCTATAGGATTAACTATTTCTGCGACTTCTCAAATGATGATGTATTTTTCACTAACACACTCGGTAACTGTTCTCTTGTGACAGCCTGACAGAGAAGACGAGGAGCAGAGGATTGCGAAGAGTGGGGGTCGTGTATTAGCTGACTTGTGGGGTGTACTGAGAGTGGATGGTGTTCTTGCGATGTCGAGGGCCATAGGTTTAAAAATATTTCTATTAAGTTTTTGTTTTTTAAAATTTGATATCCATTTTCTGATGCATATATAAATATATACTTTAATTCATTTACACTGGGAAGCTTTCTACTTCTGAGTGAGGGCCGTATACTAAGCACTTACCTTGGTTAGCGCTTACTGGTTCGATTACCTTATCGGGTGAACATAACAAGAACCGAGAATCCTACTGGTAAAAAGGAAGGTAATGATCGAGAGTCTTGCCCAATAAGTGAGGGTGATGGCTCTTACCTGATAAGCGCTTACCGAGTTGTAAACGCTTACCATCAATCCCATTTTGATGGCTGGGAATGTTTCCCCATAAGGTAAACGAGAATGGTGACTCTTGCCAACAAGCGCTTACCCGGTAAGCGTTAGGTAAACGGCCCCTTATTTGGTGAGGTTTGAAACTAGGACCTCCTGGGAGGCTTGGCTCTACCGGTAACCCAGATACCGCTAGCCGCTAGGTGTCATGCTAGTGCTCATCTTCCTGATTGATTCCATGTTTTCGTTACTTGTCACATCGTCGAAGGAACTTGTTCTAAGGTACTTAATTTAAAGCTTTCCTATTTTCTGTTCATTAAATTGGACTTCCGAAAATGTCTGAATTTCAGGAGATAAGTCGTTGAAGCCTTCCGTAAGTTCTGTTCCCGAACTGACTTTCACAACCAGGTCTGAAGAGGACGAATGCATCATAATAGCTAGTGATGGTCTGTGGGACGTCGTATCTACAGAATGCGTGGGGAATCTGGCTTGTGAACTCCTGCAACATGAGCGGCAATCGGCACATTTCGGTGAGAGCCCAACGCAGTATGTCGCCGAATGTCTGTTCAAAGAAGCATGCTCAAGATCAAGCAGTGATAACTTCTCAGTAATTGTCGTTGATTTGAAGCCGGCAAGAAGGAACTAGCTGCAGCTCTAAATATGTCACAACTTTTCATCCTTCAACTTGATGTTATTGTGCAATATATAATCTTAAATTGAAGCTTTTCTAGTTGATATTTGAATGACAATATAAAAAAATTTCAATTTAAAATTTAGACACATCTGTTCATTTTGGTTAGTTTTCTATCATCAATTTGGCGACTTCCATGGCAGTCACTTCTTTCTTTTTTTGTTCTTTTTTCGCTCCCATTCCTCTCTTTTTACAGGTTGTTTCAAACTCCCGAGCGATGGCATTTGATCTTGCAAACAAGAGCAGAACAAATGCTGTGACGAATCGATGAGTATCTTGGTAAGTGAAAAGTAATCTAAAATCCAGTCTATGATTGCATCTATTCTTGCAAATAATTGATTGTTCTTTGAAGCCCATTTGTTTAGTTAGCTTAAAATGTTCTCAAGCAATCTTGCACATCTTGGTGTGGCAACCCATGCTTTGTCCCCACTGTCCTATATTCCCTTGAAGTTTTATAATATGAAATCTAATTATATGAGTATGCTGCAGTCTTGAAAAGCTATCTTTCATTTTTAATATCATAGTATTAGTATGTCTTTTACTCCTAGGGCCTCTTTGTTAGCAGCTTAATCACACTCGAAACTTATCCGGTCAGACTGGTCAGTTATACATGACTGTTTGGTAGTGGCTTAATGATATAGAAGAAAATGACTTATTCAGTGAGCTTCTAGGAGGAGCTTTATTAAGAAAACCAAGTTTTTTCCAAACCTGGTTAGAAAAACGCTCATTCCGTCTATGGAAAACCCTCCCAAACAAAAATCTTCTTAGGATTTGATGGAAAACCAACCAACCAAACAGCCACTTAGAAGGGTTTGGTTTATATAGGTTAATATTAGGTAGGGGACAAGATAATAATTGAAGATTGTTACCGAGTCAGGTTCATTCTCTCTTTTAGTTTATTCTTGATAAATGTAAGAGGATAGGATATATAGGCTCTAATTGTTGTTCGGTATAGGATTGCCCGTGTGTCTATTCTGAAAGTACAGTTTAAAAAATCTGTATATAATTGCAATAATATATATGATGGAGAAAGGGGAATCTCCTTCTCTTGTCCCCTAAAAGTCACAAAATCATATTCTGATCCCTTCCCACCAAGCCTTGATAAGCTTTTCTTCTTTAATAAAAGCACTAGTTGTCTCCCCGCGTATTGCGGTGGGAGACAAAAATTTTAACGATTTTGAAGTTCCACTGGTTTTATAAGATAATATTTAACGATGATATATGTTACATTTGGTCTTTACAAATTAATACAATTTGAATAAATAAGAGTTATGGTTCCAATTACAGACTATCGATGAAAAAAATTGTATGACAGTTTAAAATCCAATATATTTAAAAGACTCCACAAATGTGTTCGATTTACACCAAGAGCAAAGAACCAAGAAACTTGAGTTTTAAGATAAACACTCAAAACCAATAAAGAAAACTACAAATTTGACAGATCATAAGCCATGAAAAGACCAAAAAAGATGGCTTTTAGAATGAAATTTCAACTGTTTACCCTTTTTTTTTCCAGAAACTCAGATTAAGGTTGAATTAATACATGTATATATATTTTTCAAAAAAACCCAAAAACATATTAATTCATAACATATTATACAGTGTAATTTGGACAGCCTAACCCCAAAATATATAGTATATATATAAATAAATAACTATAAAAGTATAAATCGTAAATATTAAAAATATTTTATTTACAATATATATAATATATAATAATATAATTAAGTCAAAAACTATTCAATATTGGACTCATTTTGAAGGTATTAACGAGACGATTATAATGGTGTAACTTGTTAAAATAAAAATGTATTTTTTAAACATGTTTTAATTGATATACGATTATGTATGTTAATTTGATAAAGGTTAAAAATGAAACATTTAAAAGTAAAGGATGTAAAGTAAATTAATTAACTAATTATAGGGGTATAAAGTGTAAATTTAAAATTATAATTTAAAAAAAAATCATGTATAAATAAAGGTATCTTGATCATTTAGTATTTTAAGACTTTAAGACTTTGCTTTATAAGATAGTATAGATTAGATGTGACCATACAATGTAGTGTAAAGGAAATATGAGATAAATCATGAGATACTCCATAAATGGTAGTACACTTTGCCATTTGGGTGTACTTGGTGGTTGGATCTTGTTCAGTGGTTCACATGGGATGGGTTAGGTTAGGTTGGTCGATTTCCGTTCAAATCGTCTTAAAAGTATAACCCCAACCCAAACCATGCAAGTTAGTTGAGGTTAGGCTAGACTAGGCTGGGTTGTGATAATGACCCAACCAAATGGTTGCGGTTTAAAAATTTTCAACCCATGCAAATTTTCTTAAAAGTATAACCCCAACCCAAATCATGCAGGTCAGGTTGGGTTGGGTTGGTCGATTTGAAGGTGTCTAGACGACCCAACCCTATGATTGCGGTTTGAAAATTTTCAACGAGTTCAAATTGTCTTAAAAGTAACCCCAACCCAAACCATGTAGATTAGGTTAGGTTGAGTTGATCGGGTTGAAACTTGTAACACTTATCCTATGTTCTTGAAAAGGAAACATAGTTTTTTATTTGTGTTTTTGAAATGGAAGGCAAGAGAAGGAAATGAATGAAATGGAAGGCAAGAGAAGGAAATGAATGGGAAAGAAACAATTTTTCTTATTTTTTATTTGAGGGTATTTATGTCATAACAATTTTTCAGACTTTTTTTTCCCTTCTCACATTTTGGAGGAAACATATCATTTACTTTCCCTCCTAAAAAGTTTTGAGAACACGTGTTTTTTAGTTTTCCCCTCATTTCCGTCTCTATTCTTCCCTTTCCTTGTAAAAAAAAAAGGTTTTGAGAACGAAGTGTTAGCTTGTATCATGTAACAAACAAGTGAAGTTAGGTCTTTTATCAAGCAGACTACAAAAGAAAGGTTCTAAGGGGTTTGTTTAGTTGGTTTTTCATTAATTCCTGTATGGATAAAGCTTTCATATATGGAATAAGCTACTTTCTATATTATTAAATCACTACCAAATAATCATGTATAACTGACCGAATAAGAGGTCAGTCTCATTAATCTCATTAAGCTCTTAGCAAACACGTCCTTAAGTTGTTGACGTTATCAACCATTCCACCAACCATTGTTTTTGGCATGTTGGTCTTTTGACTAAAGTTGCTCCCTTGAGTTTACATAGTCAAAAATGGGTTTGAGAGTTACCCTTTGGGTGAAAGGTGATGCGGTTTATTTGGGGATGCGAATTACCGTTTATTTGGGTAAGGATGACAGGTTTGAAGACATTTGAACAATCCAAGTCAAACAGTTCCGGATTGATGCTATTACATAATAATTAGGCCGTGATTCGTGAATTACCTCAGGTTGGGTCAGTTTGGTTGGAACTTGCTCAATCTCTGAGATATAGATGTTTAAAATAGTAGAGTGAGGACATGTTTGTTAGCAACTTAACGAGCTTAATGAGACTCATAATTTATTCAATCGGCTATACATGATTGTTTGATTGTGGCTTAATGATATAGAAAGTAACTTATTCAGTAAACTTTTAGGAGGAACATTATTAAAAAATCTAAGTTTTTTCAAACGATGTTCCTACCAATTAAATAACACCATCCTTTTTATCTGTAAAAAAATCTTTCCAATTTACATAAACATGAAGCAGTAAAAACATCCCCTCAGGCAGGTGCATGATGAATAATAATAATAATAGACTCTACCTAGTGTAGTGTGAGTTGGGTATAGATTGATAGGTACACGTGGAGTAATTGTAGAGATAGAGGCGTGTGGAATCTTTCTGCTCTCATGTTGTTTTGCTCAGGAACAAAAGCAGAATCTTTCAGCAACAGAAATATTTCCTGAAATTATAGGCAAGAAAGAAAGAAAGGTATGACGTGGACCACCGCCTATTTGTATCCTTCTCTCTTTTGTGTCTTGTTCATATTCTCCATCCACTGAATTTTCCCTTCTGCATCTAGATTTGCACTACGGCCATATCAACTTTGGACTTTGTGTGTTGTTTAATGGTCTGAACGGCTTATTCGTTCAACCATATAAGAGGGTTCCTTTACGGCTTAATCGATAATCCATTAAGCTAGAATGGAATAAGCCTGGACACCACACTTGTTGCCGTTAAGCTAACTCAAACAAATTAATACCAAAAAACTCACAAAAATTACCCAACCCTCTCTCTTTGCGTCCCTCAAACTCTTTCATCCCTTAGGCTTGTTTGTTAGCAGCTTAATGAACTTAATAGGTCTCACAGCTTATTTAGTCAGTTATACATGACTGTTTGGTAATGGCTTAATGACATAGAAAGTAGCTTATTCAGTAAGATTATAAGGGGAGCTTTATGCATAAAGCCAAGTTTTTTCTAATTATGTTCCTCCGAATTAAAAAACATGCTATTTCCATCTATGAAAAACCTCTCACAAACAAAAAAATTTCAATATATATAGACAAATTAATCCATACATGACAACTTTATTCGTATAAGACTTAATGAAAAACCAATCAAATAGTCATATAGAAACAAATAAACACCCGTTACTAAGGGGCCGTTTACCAAACGCTTACCCAGGTAAGCGCTTACCAAGTCACATTACCTTACCGGATGAATATGGTAAGGACCAAAAATCTTACCCGGTAAGAGGGAGACAAGGACCAAGAGTCTTACCTGGTAAGTGAAGGCGACGACTCTTACCATGGTAAGCGCTTACTGGGTAAATTGTTGCATACAATGTTGTTTTTGTGGACAAAAATCTTACCTAGTAAGTAAGTGGTAGTGTTAAATTTTACCGATAAACGCTTATCGGGTAAATGTTTGGTAAACGGCCCCTAAGTCATTGATTTTTGCTTGTCTACACAATACTCATATTCGGTTATCTATACCCTTTAATCTTTATGATCTAGGTTCATTCCTTTGACTTATATGCCAATTTCACCCACTTGGTTTTTGGTTCTTGAAAGAAAAAAAAAAGGTGTTTATAGGCTATAGCAATAATTCTAGCTTTGGAAATTCAAATTGTGATTTGTAGTATGGAATAAGTAGTAGGAGTGGATTGTGTGTTTTAATTGGGTTTGTGTGTGTATATATATACATATATGGTTGGTTCCGGTGAGAGAGTTAAAGTGAGAAGCGTAAAAAAACCATTGGATGTACATTAGGATGAGATGCACATTGGATCAATCCCTGTATCAAGTGTGATTCATAGGTGAACATGAGATTGAAGGTTATCAATGGTTCAGATCTCTTCTTACGTTTCTCACATTAACTCTCCTTATCACACAATCCTTTGTTTAATTGCAACAATTAAGGGGGTTGCATTAGATGAACCCTTCTCTCTCTATAACTATATAAAATTTGAAATTTGATACCCAGTTGACAGAATATATAGCATGTAGGGAAAACAGTAGAATGGTGTAGTGAGTTTATTCTTATGGGTATAATCCGAAATAAAACCAGAAACCAAAAAGGAATAGGAGAATCAAGGGTCTTATCATGATATAATTTTGTGAAAGAAAGAGGAAGCAGCATGATTTCTTTTATTTTCTTTCATTTCTCTTTGGTTCCTTGCCACTCATATTGGCATCGCCTGTCCATTTCAAATAACACTTAGGTGCCGTTTACCAAACGCTTATACCAAGTCACTACTTTACCAGATGAATATGACAAGGATTAAAAATCTTATTCCGGTAAGAGCGAAGACAAGAATCGAGAATCTTACCCGGTAAGTAAGGACGAGAACTCTTACCATGGTTAGCGCTTACCGAGATAAATTGTTGCATACGATGCGTTTTAGTAAATAAAATCTTACTCGGTAAATAAACGATAGTGTTCACGATCTATTTTATAAGCCTACTTGGGTATTGAGTATTTGTTTGTAAGAACTGAATTTTTTGCACTCGATATCGATAGTTTCAACTCMAGAAAAAAGAATCCAGTCAAAATCTTTTTTCTTACATAAAACCATTCATATATCGTATATGCGGGTGTCTAGATAACATATATTTTATATGGATTCATTTGGTTMTTTTGATTCTTGCTCGAGCCGGATGATGAAAAATTATCATGTCCGGTTCCTTCGGGGGATGGATCTGGGTAAGTGTTTTGGTAAACGACCCCTTAATCGCCATTTCTATATATATAGGGACAAGTTCTTTTGTCAACTCAATAATTGGTATTAACTTTGTGGACCAATATTGACCATTGATTCTTAAAATCTATGGATGATATCAATTGTGACATATTTGTAATTAATTAAAAATGAAGGATATCAAAACATAGGTGAACATGGGTATTTTTGGGAGAAATGTCCAAATCAATAATTAATTAATTAAATCGGTTAAAAATCAGTAGTTCGTAGAATCATTCGTGTTGCATTATGAACACTTATGAATACATATGAACATATATGTAACTTATTAACTAATCTTAGTCTGTAACTTTTACATATGAACATACGAGAACACTTACGAACACTTATTTGCACCTGTTAAAACTTATGAACAGTAAAGTAATAAGCTTTCACACGTGAACACAATAATATATGAAACTGGGAGTGTGCATCAGGGTTCTTTGAACCTCATTCTATATATTTTATTATAAATTATGAATGGTTATAATTAAAGTTGGAAGTAATTGGTTGGATGTAAATACGGAATGATGGTGGTAGGTTGTTGAGGTTAGACTTCAATTATGTTTGATGCTTTGGAAAACGATTGGTGAGATTTGTTTTTAAGTCGGCTGGAAATGTGTTACGACTTTTAGTTAATTTTAAGGTTTATTAAATCAGTGATTGTAGAGCATCACCTCACCATTTAATATATGCGTTATAAGATATTTGGTAGATTATTAATTAATTATTAAATATTATTATTTAATGTTCCAAATCAGATTCAGGTATGGAGATATGTTCTGATTCACTATTTAATTATAGATTAAATTACATTTTTAGTCCCTATAGTTTCTTCAAATTTCATATTTTCATCCTTGTGTTTTTTTAAACTACAATTTTCATCCTTATAGATTACTTTTCATTGATGTATTAGTCCTTATGATTTATAGTTTTTTTTTTGTTCTTTTCATCCCTGTGATTTACAACTCTTTACCTTTTTAGTTCCTTATACTAAAAGGTAAGAATTGTGGGCTGTTTGACAGTTGTTGAACGGTTTGGTGCAGAATAATTAAATAGTCAGAACGATTAAGATGCTCTCATTTTATAATGCAAAATGAAATATAATTGTTTGATAATTGTTTACAATGAAATTAGGGCGCTGAATGGTTAAAGAAGATCCATAATACAAAATCATTCAGATTGTTTTAAAACCATTAAGAGACAGATTTTTTTTTTCGTTAAACAAAATTCACCTCTTAAGGATTCAGGAACTGTATTTTAATAGAACTATTAAGAGATAAACAAACAACCCCTTAGGGTCTGTTTGTTAACAATTTAATAAACTTGATAAGATTCACAACTTATTCAATCAACTATACATGATTGTTTTGATAGTGACTTTATGATATAGAAGATGGTTTATTCAGTAAGATTCTACTATGAGTTATATGCATAAATTCAAAATTTTCCAAACGTACGCATCCCAATTAAAAAACACGTTTATTCCATCTATTAAAAACCTCCCAAACAAAAACTTGTCAATTTATACAGACAAATTAATCCACACATACAATTTTATCCATATATGACTTAATAGAAAACCAACCAAACAACCCCTTAGACTCAAGGACCTAAATAACAATGAACTGTAAACTATAGAGTAAAAAACCTTAAAAATCTAAACCAGATGAATAAAATTTATAATTTTTAATAACCCACATAACATAATTTACTCATAATTATATGCCCTCTTTCCCCAAAACCACCCAACTTTACATTCCATTTTTTGTACATTTCTTACTTAGGAAATAAAAACCCATTTTATATACCAACCGAATAAAATTATTTATTCCAACCCAATTTGTATTTATTTATATTATGATTGAAGTGAAATTAAATATTCATTATTCTCTCATTAATTGGATTTTTTTGGAAATGGAATGAACCTTTTTCCTTAGCTTTTCGCTCCATACTACCTCGCTCACTCTGTAGAATCGAATCCGGGTTCTGTTTTACATGCAAAAAGCAGCAAGGTTTGGTAAGCGCCTTTTGTTGCTTGGTACGTCTCCCGTGCCGATCCGATACTTGCTTTTTTTCTTCTTTACATAATTAAATACATATTATCGCGTTGATACCATGCCGAAAAAACCAATGGAATTTATTTGCTAAATGACAAGACATTATATGTCCTCTTTTTTGTGGGCCTATAAAACCCCTCATTACCATTCCATATTTAGCATCAAACTCACATTTCAAATTGTTGCAAGTTTCTTTGAAAGAATAGTGATGGAAAGAAATCAAATGCAAATGCATAGGCAAATTGCTACCATTCGCAAATCGCTTTTCGATCAGGTTGGTTTTAGTTTCGGTTCATGTTTATGTTGTATACATACGTATTACGTATACGCATATAATAGTATGTGAAATGAAATTCTAGGCACCATTTGGGGTTTAGATTTTGTAATCCTTGTTAAAATCTCATCTTGGTATATCAGATGTTAGGTTTTGGCTCCTGTTGCAGTCAAACGTCAGCTAAACTTCAACCATTTTTGCTTCGTATATATTGAATCAAATGGTTGTTTTGACGAGTAATCTAATGGGGTTTTACATATTCTTACTGGTTCAACACTATTGTGAATATGGACCTTATGTGCTCTACCCTTTAGTTTTAATTTTTTAATTTAGGATTACTTTCAAAAAAAATCTTAGATGCGGAATTCCACAAGTTTTTATAGCCAACAATGCATTAAATTTTCTCGATAGATATTAACTTATCTGGATTTAATTATCAATAGGGATATCTGGACGAGCAATTCGTACAGTTGGAGGAGTTGCAAGACAATTCGAATCCCAATTTCGTGGAGGAAGTCGTCACCTTGTTCTATCGTGATTCCGCTCGTTTTCTCTATAATCTCGATCAAGCCTTGTACGTTAACTCGATTTCTTTTTTATTTTATTTAAAATAAATCGTCGTATTAATAATTGATTAATTAAATTTATATTTATATTAATATTAATATTATTCAGGGAAAAGAGGCCTTTGGATTTCAGTAGATTAGACAGCTTAATGCATCAGTTTAAAGGTAGCAGTTCTAGCATTGGTGCCAAGAAGGTTAAGATTGAGTGCACCCACTTCAGGGACTACTGCAATGCCAGAAATACTGAAGGGTATCAAAATTACCATTCTACCCTTTTTATTTTTTTTTATTTTTATTTATAAAAAAAAAATTGGGACATAATGCAGATGCAAGAGGACCTTCCAACATGTCAAGAAAGAATATACAACTCTCAAAAAGAAGCTTGAAGCTTATTTTCAGGTGGGGGTTTATTTTTATAGTCCATGTTTTAAAACAAAATTAATAACGTCTACGTGAAATGTCGGTGTTAAATCGGCATTTCAACGGTTGATGATGGAATTATATATATGTATATGTATGTATGTATGTATGTATATATATACATATGTGTGTGTGGGGGGGGTGGGGGGGCAAATCGTATGAAAACTGTTTGAAAGTTGGAAACTGTGAAAAACAGTTTATATGTGTTGTTTCATAATGAAACAACATATGTGAACATGAGTGTTCGTAGAGTGTTGTTTATTAGATTGAATGTCAAATGTGTGAATAAAACACAAAAATATGTGTATATATGAAACATAGAGTTATCTCTGTATACAACAAAATATGTAAAACAATATGAATCATAACTTAAAATCAAATTGAGTGAATTGTTTTGATTGATTTTCATATGGTTGGTTTTACATATGTTGATGTTTCATCTATGAAAACAATACATGAAACTGGTTTCACAGGTTCTAACTTTTAGACGGTTTTTATATTGCCTAGTCTCACGTGAACCCAACTTTATATACATACATATATGTATATACATAAATACATACATATATATATATACACACACACACACATGATGACCTTCAGGAGAAAACCATAAAAAAAAAATTTGATGAACATGATAGTAACCGTTCATCTATATGGTATATACTTGTGCATACAATAAATTTTGTAAGTAACTTTTCAGCATGCACACGTGCATGAAAAATATGAGACATATTCAATTATTTGTATGCACATATACATACAATATATATGAACGGTTATTAAGTTGTTGATTAATTTTTTTTTTTTTATGTTCCCCTTGACACCCCCACTCTCTCTCTCTCTCTCTCTCTATATATATATATATATGTATATATATTTTTAAAAAATTGTGACCTAACTTTAGAATTATTTTTATATGTGATCTCAGATGTCAAGACAAGCTGGGCCCATCGAGACGGCATGCCGGCCCAGATAAAAGTTTTGGATTCTAATGGGCTAAAGATGGCCCATTTAGTAGACTATGCTTAACAAACCAAACCCATTGGGCCTCATTGTACTAGTAGTGGTATATTGTCATAAAACGAGGTCGTCTTGATAGAAGAGAAATGCTTTAGAGGGTGGTACGATGTGGTGTTCTACTTGTTCTTGGTTTTTGGTTTCCCACTAATCTTACTATTAAATATCAATCAATCAAATCAATTACTAGTTTTTTTTATACCATTAGCGTGCACTTATTTTGCATTTTCACCTTATATTTAACTCAATGAGTATATTCTTGTAACTGTAAACTTAACAAACATAAGGGTCGTTTATCAAATGTTTATTCGGGTAAGTGCTTACCAAGTCACATTCTCTTACCGGATGAATATAACAAGGACCAAGAATCTTACCTGGTAAGAGTAAAGACACGGACCGAGAGTCTTACCCGATAAGTGATGTGATGACGACAACTCTTACCATGGTTAGCGCTTACTGGGTAAATTGTTACACACGATTTCGTTTTGGTAGACTGGAATTTTACCCAATAAGTAAGTGATACGGTTGAATTTTACTGTTAAACACTTACTAAGTAAGTGTTTGGGTAAACGACCACGTAATGTTAAAAGGACGTATCAGACATCATGTTATTTCATTACGATCTATTAAACATTCAAATAGACATCGTGTAAACGAAACAAAGCAAAAAAGAATCCCGATTAGCAACATAAAAAGATTCTTAAATACTAATATCTGAGAAAACGTGTAGCTACTCTTATTCACACTAATAAACTAAAATTGTAATCTTAGGGGGTGTTTGGGATTGTTTATTTAAAGTGCTTATTGACTTATTTCGGTGTGGTACTGGTGATAAACAATTTTTAGTGTTTGGATGAGAATAAAAAAAACTGCTTATACCGATGTCAAATCAGTAATAAAGAGTTTTTGATAAGTTTGAACATTCTAACTTATCAGATCTAAATTATTAGCTTTGGAAACTTATTTATCTTTTTAACCTTAAACCTAACTTACGCATCGGATTGGAGCAACCTTCATCTGCCAAATCGAAAATCAAACCGACGTTCACTACAAAATCGAAAATCAGACCGACCTTCACTGCAAAATCGAAAACGACGTTCAATCGATATTCACATCGACCTTAATTGCAATCAAAAATCAAACCCACCTTCACTGCAAAATCGAAAATCAAACCAACCTTCACTGCAAAATCAAAAACCGACCTTCAATCGACATCGACATCGACCTTCATCAACATTTTCCTCTCTAGTTTCCATGGCTATCGACTTCCATGGTTTTCAACTTCCACGGAGATGGTCCATGTTTTGTTCGATTTCACATAAACGAGAGAAATGGAGATGGTCCCTGTTTGATTCAATTTCACAAGGTCCTTTTGGTCATTTTACATTTATAAACAAAATTTACCAAACACTACTAAATAACAACTTATCAGTTTATTACGTTTTGGTACTACCATAAGTTAATTCAAACACTTTTATAAAACTCTGATTTGACACCAGATAAGTTGATAAAACACTTTTACAAAAAACACAAGTTATTTTAAATAAGCAGTCCCAAACATCCCCTTAAATTCCCCGTGCTAACCATTACCTAGTGGCCACCTCCTTCCGTAAATGCATTGCCTTGGGCGTGCCCACCCGGGTTCGATTCCAGGGGAGGACAAGTTGTCTTTTCCGATGCTTGCTTATGAGGTATGACAAGTAGGGTTCACAAAATGTGGACCACGGGGCCATGAGGTCCCCACCATTAAACCTTTTTTTTTTAAATTCCCCATGCTTTGGATAATTTTGGCAACAACACTTCATCATATAAGATTGAATTATAACTGTTAATCACTAATAAAATGTTTTTTTTTTGAACTTATGAAACGTAGAATCTGATTGATTTATGTATGGAAGAAAAACTTTGTTATACCAATTGAGAAACCAAGATACATCTCGATTTTATTGTTTCCTTTTATTCTTTGTCTATTAATATAATACGGTTTTATATGGTTTTGAAAAAATGATAATGTAATTATTTTTTAATAAAATATAAATTCGAAAATATTGTAATTAAAATTTTGAAAAAAAAGTGATATTAATATCAAATTAACTATTTAAAAATTCTCGTTTTTTGTATAATTTATTTGATTCAANTTTAAATTTTTTTTATCAATAGTTTTATAATACAATATATATATATATATAAAATAAAATTTTCATTTTTTTCCTTAGAGTCAACATAGTTAATAGTATATAGCCACTATTATAGGTGTATAACTTGTTTTAATTTAAAAAATTTAATTAATTTCGAGAATTGAAAAAAAAAAAAAGGGGGTAGGTGAGGGTGAGATATTGCGAATGGCGGCATTTCTCGCAGGAGGTAGGTGGCCGTTTGCTTTTTCCGGTGGTAAAATTCTTCTTCACCTATTTTTTTATTTTTATTTTTATTTTTAATTTCAGAAAATTATTCAACCACATTCTTTTCCTTTTCCAAATTATACCCTTAGAAGAAACCCTTTTAAGTTGCGTATTAAAATATCTTACCCTAAAAAATAAACCAACCTTGTTTTTAGTCCAAAATATTCATCAAACTTTAAGTAATTTGTTACCTTTTCTCTTTAATAATAGTGGATTTTCAGACCAGCTTACGTGCATCGACTAGTTTTCTGATGATTATAATCATTACAGGTGAACCTCAATCACCGTAAGGGTTTGTCAGCGTTTGAATTCAAACTCGAATAGATGAAATTTTTTACTGCATCTTTGTGAGACTTAACCAGTACAACACAACCCAGGTAAAATTTTAACTTATGTGCCTATATAAATGAAAATTGCCAAATGTATTGAAAATAATAATCATAAAACTATAATATAAAATATAATAAAGTCAGAAAAATAAAGAGGTGATGTTGTATCATTAATGCCCCACCAAAATCGTGAATACAAACTACTTGTTTGATTTATTTGTTATATAAACGTAACTGTTGTGTTTCTGGTCTTTATTTAACAAGTTGGTTGTTTCGTAATTAATTTATGGGAACATTGATTTCGTGATGTTCTGAACTTGTTTACATAAGGCCCTACACGAGAGAGGTTAGCAACCTTAAGTATTTGGGTACCCTTCTAATTATAATGAGCACATGGTCTGCCCGAGATGTCAACAATCTGAGAAGTCGATTATGTGATATCAAATATAGTGGTTGCTAATGGCTTGCTTGCTTAAGAAACTTGTTATATACTTCCTTTACCTGATATGTAATGAATGTTTGTTTTTTTATAATTCTTTGTTTTTAGATGCTTCTCTTCTGATAATCACTCACGATCTGTGTCCAGGATAACTTTTTTTTTATTTTATAGAAAATGATGAATTGAAAATGTATCTTATGGGCCATTTACTAAACTTTTACCCGAAAAATGCTTACCGGATAACTTTCATTATTAGATGAACATGACAAAGGGTCAAAAATCTTACCAGGTGGCAGGTAAGAACAATGATAAAGATGGAAGGGTCTTACTCGGTAAGTGAGGGTTGCGACTCTTACCCGGATAAGTGCTTACCGGGTAAATTGTTGCATATGATACCATGTTGATGTACTGTAATCTTTCTCGATAAAATAAATTATAGTGTTGACTCCTAACGATAAGTACTTATCCGGTAAGCATTTAGGTAAACGGTCCCTTATTCAGATGGCTTGTAGAAAAAGAAAATATATGTTAGAATTTGTTGACTTAAATTTATGGAATTGTTTTTGACCAAAAGCCAAAGAAAATAACAGATTCTAATTCTATGCTAGGCATGTGTTTTGTTTTTCAATTTAATTTTTTAACATTTAAATTAATTAAATTAGACAACTCATTTTTATAATACAACAAAATAAATAGTCATTTATTTTTGAAGACAATAATTGAAAATTCAAATATTATAACATCTTTAACAGCTGTGTTAAAATGGAGAAAATGTGTATTTTAACAATTTTTGCTTTAACAACTATATCATATTGTATGCTAAAATAGAGTAAAGAGAGAAGATCGTAAAGATCTCTAAATTTAGACAAATCTTTAAATATAAAGAGAAAATTATTATTTTAATACTTCCTACCAGTAAGAGGTATTGAAAAAAAATAAGGCGCTGTTTGTTTGCCTCTTAATAATTCCATTAAGAAGAGGCAGTCTTTGAATCGTTAAATGGTGAATCTTGTTTGGCAAAAAAAGAAATATGTCTCTCAATGATTCTAAAACACTCTGAATGATTTTGTATCTCGGATCTCCCTTAATCATTCAGCCCCCTAATTCCATTGTAAATAATTATCGAACAATTATATTTTATTTTGCACTATATATGAGAGCTTCTAAATCATCTGTCCACTTAATCATTCTGCACCAAGTCATTTAACAACTACCAAACAGTCCCTAAATGTTTTCATTTTTTTACACTTGAAACTTCAAAGCAAAACGTTGTAAAGGTAACCTTGACAGCGTTTCCGCAGTAAAGGTTCGGTGTTTTTTAACTTCACAACGTTTTCATATGAAATCTCAATTGTAAAAAGTGGTCTCACGGCTCTTACGAAAACAAACTGGTCTCACGTGAACCCAACCATACACACACACATGTATATATATACACACACACTTGAAAGTATTCGCACAATGCAACGAGATATATCTCCATTTTATTATTTCCTTTTATTCTTTGTCTATTGATATAATACAATTTTATAAGTTTTTGAGAAAGTGATAATGTTTTTATGTTTGAATAAAATATAAATTTGATAATATTGTAATTAAAATTTTGAAAAAAAAATATCGATATTAGTATCAAATTAACTATTTAAAAGTTTTCGTTTTTTTATGTAATTTCTTTGATTCAATTTTCTATTATAATTTAATTTAGGTCCAATAATGAATCAATTATTTTTGGTTTAATAATATAACTTGTTATAAATATAATAATTAAGTATTTTATTAGTTTAATAACGAATCATTTTATTTTTGGTTTAATAATATAATTTTTTATAAAGATAATAATTAAGTATTCTGTTAGAACTAAACGATTATCCTAATTATATTTTAGATATTTTATATTTAAAATATGATGTTTATTCTGTATATGATTATGTTTATCTGCAGTTAGTTATACGTATTCAAAAATGAAAGCTTAATAAGTTATACTTATGCACAATTTACTTGTAATTCTGAACTTTAAGTAAAATATATCAATAAACAGTATTTTATATAAAAAATAATTTTTAAAAGTTTTTATCAAATACACCAATCAAATAAACTGTAACTCCCATTAAACTAACTGTTACCAAACAGACCTGAACTCGGATATTTTTTTTTTCCATGAATACGATTAAGATAAAATGGCTTAAAAAAGGTAATAACAATCAGGTAAAACGTAGGCCAGCGTGCAGGGTGTTAACGGTCTGTCTGTTTCAAACCGGTGGTCTGAACCAGAAAGGGCTAATAACACAGCTCGACCTCAAGGCCTAGCCGCCTCACCTTCTGCGTCTCCGATCACTTTTTTTTCCGGTGGCTTCTTCAACCTTTCTCCTCCTTCTCTACAGATGTATACATATATAGATGAATATGCCTACTGAAAGTAATACTGTTTTCCCCTATTCATCTAAACATCAAACAGACATTGTGTCTGCAGCGAATTGATTCCGGCATTGCCTGTTGCTATATCTGTGAGTTTGTTTATTGAATTGATTCATAATTCAATCTTGTTCCATGTTTCATAAGTGTTTGATCTAGCTCTTTCAGGGAACAAATTGCGAAAATTGTGGTAGCCTAGTTTCTATTTCTAGGGTTTCGATATTTGGTTCTTCATCGGAACCTACAGAATTAGGTTAAAAGATCAGGCTGTGGATTACTTCAGTTTTTTTAATTGGGGAAGGTAGAACATATTGAAGAAAGTGACATTCGTGAGTTTAATTTCATCCTCTGTCGTCAGCTGCTTCCAGCAATAAAGTTCAGCTTCTTCTTTTTTGGGTTCTATTTTCTCGTTCTCCTAGGGTTTCTGTGCTACAGTGAAGTCTGGTTTCGAATAGTCATAATCTAAACGGCATGGCGTCGTACCGACCATTCCCTCCACCGCCACCACCTCAATCAAATTTTGGTCCTCCGATACCTGCGCCGCCCAACCAGACTTCCCTTCCACCGCCACCACTTGCCCCTACGCCCCAACCGAGAGGAAATCTGTATTCTCAGAATTGGAGCTATCCCAGTTCGAGTTTTCAACAGGGTGGTTATGCGGCTCCACCTAGAAACCCTGTTCCAAATCAGCAGCAACAGTATTCATCATATCCACCACCTCCGCCACCGCCACCACCACCAGAGTCCGCTTACCCACCACCACCTCCTCCTTCTCAGCCAGGACAAATGTACTTCCCATCCTCTCAGTATCCTCAATTCAGCAACCAGCCTTTGCAGCAACAATTGCAACCGCCACCTCCACCTCCACCTTCCTCTCCCCCCAGTTCTTCGATCCCTCCGCCACCACCACCTCCATCACAACCACCATCGCCTCCGCCACCTCCTTCAGCAGTCCCCATGGCTAATCAAAGCAAGGAACATAGACAGGGTGACCATAAAGGGCCTTCCAAGGATTTGTCAGGTTCTAAATGGCGTGACCCAGCTCATTCACACCACAAGGTTCCTCCTAGACAGCAAGTTAAGGCTGCTGCTCTACCTCCAATGCCAGCAAGAGCGTCGAATGGCCCTCCTGGCAGGGTTGAGACAGAAGAAGAGAGGAGGATGCGCAAGAAGAGAGAAATAGAGAAGCAAAGGCAAGAGGAAAAACATAGGCAGCAATTGAAGGAATCTCAGAATAAGGTCCTTCAGAAGACCCAAATGTTAACTTCAGCGATCAAACCACATGGTTCAATTAGCGGTTCACATATGGGTGATAGGAGGGCCACCACATTTTTGAGTGGTGAAAGGGCAGAAAATCGGTTAAAAAAGCCAACAACATTTCTTTGCAAGTTGAAGTGAGTATGTTATGACACCATGCATCTATTTTATTTCATACTGGTTGAGCACTGTGCCTTTTAAATTCTACTAACTTCATGATACAACTCTTATTTCGAGTCCCAAAAATTATATTTGTACTAGTATTGTTGCCTGCTGCCAGTGGATATTCCTTTTCCTTGTATAGAATGATGAATATACTTTGCGCTTTTGTTCTCTTTGAAGGTTCCGGGATGAGTTACCAGATTCGACGGCCCAGCCAAAGCTTCTGTCTTTAAGGAGAGACAAAGATCGGTATGCATTAATAATCTTAACTTTTTTGTGGCTGCTATATCTTTCAACTGTTAGCTTGCCATGCACACATACATGCACTTGCAGAAGGATCAACACTTGGACCACAAAATGTGCATAACTCCTCCAGTTAGACATATTGATTGCCATGGGGTACATTCTGGTTGGCAGCTATTAGTGGCTTGCGATTACTAAATACAATATTAAAAGGTGACATAGATTCGTGTTGGGTTGTGACGTCCTGTTATCAAATATCATGATGTGGAGGATGATACAAGATGGACGCCCCGGACAACTCTACCGATTCGGAGGATCTGAAAAGGTCTTAATTTTAAAGGCTTTCATGTGCCAGCTCTGAGGTGTTCCATTATTTGAAATAGTGTTTGAGAACCAAACTACCATAGAACTGAGAAGTTAATGGTAGATGGGTGATGAGTCATTGCTTCAACTGCAGTTGAGACAATATGAACCATGATGTCATAATTAAGCCCATTATTAATTAATAAATGAATTCTATTAACTATGTTTTGGGAAGTATTAAATGTGAAGATTCATATAGATACTGTTGCTCAGAATGTGAAGCTACTAAGATGTGCTTGAGAGAGAGAGAGGTAGGAATAATTTGAAATGTCACCATAAGAAGAAAAAGGTCCAAATATAAGTTTACTGAGGGTGTGAGTGAATAGAGTGGCTTATGGTTAAATTTTCTCTGTTGCACATCAACCTAGTAAACAAATCTGCTCTCTATGTGAATGATGATTGGACCAATCTAAGACCACATGATGATTGAAAAAATAGCCGAACCAAAAATTACAGTTCTTTGGAACTCAAAACGACATGCTGGTGTTGTCAGTTGAACAATCATTTGCCAATTGGAAATTTATGTTAAAGAGCCAAAATGATCAAGTGATTGCATTAACACTCAACTGGTTGGACAATCTGCTCCAACAGATGCAACACAATCTATTTTTGGCTTGCCCAAGAAAATGCATTATTTCCTTATTCAGAATGATTTCTTAGCAAATTTATCCATTATCATTCATTGTTGGTGATTTTAATATCATCAACATTTTGGCGTAATTGAGATTGACTTGAGATAAATGAAGATTCAAGGTTGAGCGTTAAAACAAGTTTGATAGTGCGGACTGCACACTTGTATATGCTGCTTTGAACCTTAGATCGCCATAGGGTACCTAGTCCTTTTCAGAAGAATAGTTGCTTTCTGAACTTATTCATAAGGCATGTTGTGTTCTGAATTTCAGTTGTGAACATGCAACTTGAATTCAGAAGACAAGTTGTCTTCTGAACTTTGATGCAGTAACCGTTGTTCGTTGTTCTTATCTGTTGCTAGTTATTTGATGAATGTATCTTCAAATAACGACTTAACTACCCCAAGTTAACTGCTATAATAACTACTTATAAAAGGTAATTTCTGTCTCATTTTATGTTCAGACAACAACAATCTCACTGTTGATACTCAAAATTTTAGCCTTAGAACATGAGTGAGATTTTGGATGATCTCAAATCTCAATACAAATTTCGTGGAATTCAAGGCTTGAAGGGTCGAAATATTGTATATGGAAAGTGCTTTCCTATACGCGATCCTAGATTTTATCCAAGTGACCCAAACCCAGATTTCTAACATTCATCACAAGATATTGTTGAGATTGATTGTTGTTCACAAGTTTTCTCATTTGTATTTTCTAAGCTATGTTAAAGGCATATGATCATTAATTAAAGACTTCTATTGAAGTATATGCCAAGTCAAATGTTGCATTTTTGTGCACCACTTGAACTCTTAAGGATCTAAATATCTAGTAGATTTTTTCGGCCTCTAACTCATAGATTTTTTTTTTCATCTTGGGGTTTTCATGCAAATATTTATATCCTTGTGTATATTTCGTTTTTTATTGTGGTTTCATGGTTTCTTCATTCTTGTAGAACTTCTCATTTCTTTTCATATTACTATTGCAACCTTCTGCATCAAAAGTGGATAACATAAATTCTTTAGATATAAATATAATCAGTCAGATCAACTTTGAGCCCTTATCCTTTTGTACGATAACCTCCAAAACTAACAACCCATGAGAAATAGGAATTACTTCTGAAACAAGCAACATGGGTGGGGTTTCAGAATAGCAAGGAACATGCTATGTTCTATTCGATAAAAAAACATTTTAAGCATATATTTTGATGCATATCTTACAACGGATCTTTGCAGAGCTGCTAAATACGCCATCACTTCATTGGAAAATGTGCACAAGCCTCAATTGTATGTTGAGCCAGACCTTGGAATACCGCTTGACCTACTTGATCTCAGTGTGTACAAGTATGAACTCATTTTATTCTTATGCTTTATTGCTTTTCCCAAAATAGATACCATTTGAAAGTCATAGTCAATTAACTCTTCTGATCTTTAATTATCCCTGAATTAGTGCTCCAAAGGATGAAATGTTCCATGTTGCTCCTGAGGATGACAAACTGTTGCAGGAGGATGTTTCTGTGACCCCTATTAAGAAAGATGGCTTAAAGAGAAAGGAGCGCCCTACAGATAAAGGCATGTCTTGGTTGGTGAAGACGCAATACATATCCCCTCTTAGCACAGATGCGACTAGACAGGTTGGTATAAAGCTTCTTGTCTTGAATTTTCTGTGGTTGAACGGTTAGGTTCTAAATGACGTGAGGCGTAGCCACGGTGCTTTTCAAGGAGTGCCCTAAGGCGGCAATATATGTATATATATAGTGTTCTGAATAATAACATAGAACAAATTAAATTCATATAAGGTAAAGTAATAAAACTAAAAAAGGAAAGAAGAATCATTGATACCAAATGTATAGAGCTTATATAAAACGATATCAAGGTGCAAAATCAGGATTAAATCTTTTGAATCTCAACTCACCACTTTCTTCAATTTTCAAAGAACTCGTGTTTGACCCTTCATGTATGGGAATGAGAGTAAGTATTTACCTATTTAGGCTTTTAGTTAAGTTTTATTTTTATGTTTATTTAAGTGTTGGGTCTTGTACTTAATTATCATTTATCCCTCAAGTTATATACTAAAAAAACCACACCTTACAAAATAACGCGTTGTAACTTTCCATAACACGTCGTAGTGCCATAATGCGTTAGCCTAAGAGTGGAGCCACAGGGTTAACGTGGCGGTGAACACAAGCCTTGATGCCATAACACGCCATAATGAGTTATTTAGAACTATTTACTGAACATGAAGTCAAGAAGTAACACTTCTTTAATGCAATTTGCAGTCTTTGACTGAAAAACAAGCAAGAGATCTCCGGGAAACACGTGGACGCAACATGCTAGATAGTCTGAATAGCAGGTATCTTATATCACTTTCCATGTCTATTTGAAGAAATTGAATGCTAGATATGGCCACTGACTTTAATTTGATAACTCATATTCTATACCAGGGAAAGGAAAATTCAGGATATTGAGTCCTCGTTTGAAGCATGCAAATCACATCCCGTTCATGCTACTAATAAGAAGCTGCAGCCCGTCGAGATTTTGCCATTATTTCCTGATTTTGAAAGGTAAGGACTTTGTTCGAGTTCCTTAAGGGTGCGTTTGGTACGTTGGACATGGTGGGACAGGACAGGACAGAACACAATTGTCCTATGTTTGGTGTGGCCTTATGTGGGACTCACTAGAACTAGCTAGAACACGGGTGGGACAAGCCTGTCCACCCTTACCCCCCTGGAACTAACTAGAACAGGAAATATTTTACCTATCTACCCTCTCAAAACCCTTCTTCGCTTCCACCGCATACTTCAATTGGCGGTATCGATTTCAATCGGCCGTATCGATTTCAATCGATTTCAATCGGCGGTATCGATTTCAATCAAAACACCCTTCGTTCCCCTTCACAAAGGCATCGATTGCATCGATTGCTGTTTCTATCGATTTCAAAGGCATCGATTGCATCGATTGCTGTTTCTATCGATTTCAAAGGCATCGATTGCATCGATTGCTGGTTTCAATCGTTCCCCTTCACAAAGGCGTCGATTGCTGGACAAAATCATTCCCCTTTTGTATCGATTGCATCTGTTTGTTGTTTCTATCGATTGCACTTTGTTTGCTGTTTTTGTATCGATTGCATATGTTTGCTGTTTTTGTGACGATTGCATTTACAAACCCAGACAACAAGCTCATTTTGGTAATCTGCAGCAATAAGAACTACTTTTGTAAGATTGTTCATCAGATCTCCTTCGATTTCATTTTAGGGTTTTAATCGAAATTGTCAGTGACTGTAAAATTGATTGAAGTTGAAGATTTTAGGGTTTAGAATCCGATGTCGTTTCTCAAGTGGGTTTAGGAGTATGGTAGACTAATTTGATCATGGTGGTTAGAATTCTGGGATTGACTCATTGGGGTAAATTAGTCAATTTAACCAGTTCTGTCCAGTCCTATCATGTCTTACCAAACGTTGAACAGCTGTCCTGTCCTGTCCTGTTCTGTCCTGTCCCGTCCTGTCCCGTCATGTCCTGTCTGCGTACCAAACGCACCCTAAGTGGCTATTTATTTATTTCTTGCCTCATCATATCTCCACATTTGATTAAGAGCATCTTTTATGTCCTTAATTGTGAGTGTGGATATTGATGGAGTACTCTGTGTTAAGTAATAGGATTAATATATGTTAACAAGGCAACAGGAGATAAAAAAATGGATTGTAAACAAAATAAATAATGTCAAATCACAAATGAGAATATCCATCCTTGTGCGAAGCTTTCATGGGTGTCAAGTTTATTATTATCGCTTGTCAAATAGGGACCAAGTAACTAATGTTTGAGGTTAAAGATTGCATATTTTTAAAGACTGCCTTTCCTTTTTACAATATTTGAAGCTGAATTTACCAATTTGAATATTTTCATTATTACAAAAAGCTTAAGACATGGATTTTTGTTTTGTTCTACAAGATTCTCCCTATTTTGAGATCATTAAAGAGTATTTAAGATATCTTCTTTTTGGGTATAATTCCATATATAAGTCAAGGTGTTGCAGAATCTAACAATATGGATGACATCAAGGACAACATAATCTAACATGAAGGGTTTAGGGGTTAGATTATTTGAAAGGATAAAGTGATGTAGCTGTTGTCATTGAAGCACCCTCGATCGTCCTTCCTCTTTCACTAATTTCTGACTGACTTCATCAGGTGGAATGATCAGTTTGTTATTGCAACCTTTGACGGAGCTCCTACCACTGATTCAGAAAGCTATAACAAGATGGAAAAATCCGTTCGTGATGCCCATGAATCTCAGGTAAGATCTTGACTGCTCTGTTTTCTGTATCCAATAGAATTCATGTGTATTGACGCCTGGAAAACAGAGCCGAAATTGAACTACTCTAGATATTGAAAACCAGAATAAAAAACCTGGAAAATAATACACTCCCTTCATCCAAAAATAAATGTCTACGATGAAATGGCACACAGTTTTATATATGTTATTATACTTTCTAAATAACTAAATGACACTTATACCCTTGATAATAGAGAGAGAAACTTTCTCCATCTCATAATTAAGGGTAGAATGGGAAAATGAAATCTTACTTATGAAAGTGGACTGTTATTTTGGGACAAACTAAAATAGAAATGTGGACACTTAATTTAGAACGGAGGGAGTAATGTGAATGATGAACTGTTGACCTTTTTTAAGATACGCAGTAAGAATCTATGAATCCTGTGGTTTTTGACATCTTACTCCATTGCAGGCCATAATGAAAAGTTTCGTGGCAAGCACCTCGGGTTCAGCTAAACCTGACAAATTTTTGGCTTATATGGTTCCTTCGGTTGGTGAGGTAAATTTACAGTCTGTTTGTTAGCAGCTTAACAAGCTTAATGAGACTCGCAACTTATTCGGTCAGCTACCCGTGATTGTTTGGTAGTGGCTTAATGATATAGAAAGTGGCTTAATCAGTAAGCTTTTTTTTTTGGGGGGGGCGGGGGGTTTATGCAGAAAGCCAAGTTTTTTCCAACCTGTCCTTCCCAATTAAAAAAAATGGTCATTCTACCTATGAAAAACCCTCCCAAACAAAAATCTTCCCAATCTATACAGACAAATTAATTCATACAGACAACGTTATCCATACAAGACTTAATGGAAAACCAACCAAACAGCTCGTTGATCGTTTTAATTTGTTTCTGTTTCCATTCGCCATTGCATTTTTGGAAGTTACTTCACTGCAGTCGTTTGTCTTTTACTTCTCCTTGTAATTTTTGTTAATATATATTATCTAACACATCTCCGTAATGATTGCAGCTATCGAAAGATATATATGATGAAAATGAAGATATATCTTACACATGGGTTCGCGAGTATCACTGGGATGTATGTAATAGATATACTTGTCTTAGAATTGAGGGGCTTTTCTACAAACACAAACTGATGTTCTCTTTTAACAGGTTCGGGGTGAGGATGCAGATGATCCTACTAATTTCCTTGTGGCATTTGGTGAATCGGAGGCTCGCTACATGGTAAAATATAGAATAAGTTGTGATTTTCGTCCCTGTGGTTTGCTAATAATTTCTATTTTCGTCCCTGTGGTTTAGAAATTGCGATTTTCGTCCCTATGATTTGCAATTTATTGCTACTTTAGTCCCTGGGCTAATTCCTATTTTTAAAATACAAGGAACTAATACAGTAAAAAACTGTAAACCACAGGGACTGAAACAACAATAAATTGTAAGTCATAAGAATTAAAATAGCAATGAATTACAAACCATAGGGACGAAAAAAACTGCAATTTCTTTATAGGGATGGAAATCGTAAATTTTATTGAACCGCAGGGAAAAAAACCTAATTTACTTTAAAATATAAAATCTAGTTTAATTCTGTTATCATGTATTATATTTTGTGGCTCCTAATATCTGATGGAAGTTCCATTAGGAACCAGAATTGATTATGAGCCCCGGAATGTCTAAGCGTCCTAATAGAATTATAAAGTTAAGTGTATAAGCGTAGAATGTCTAAGCGTCCTAATAAAATTTATAGAACTTAAGTTTATAGAACCAAACTATAAAACGTTCTATCTACAAGTGTTATAATAGGTTTACAGGATACTTTTGGGCATTTTAACAAGTTTTTTAGGACGTTTTAAAAATAAAATGTTGTTATTTTATAGGACAATACAAGTGTCCTATAAACCATCTTTTATAGGACACTTATCCAAATAGTTACATATAAAATCGCTAATACGATACCTTATATTAAAAACGTCCTAAAAAACTTGTTAAAATGCCCAAGAGTATCATGTAAACGTATTGCTTTTAGATATGACATTTTTTGGTTTGGTCCTATAAACGTAAGTCTATAAAGTCTTTTATTAGAATGCTTAAACATTTTACGTGTCATATAAAGCCAATTTTATTGTAGTGGAACCGTCTACAGAGCGCCAAGTGTCCATCCATAGTATGAATGATGAATAACGTGTCCACATTCTTGATTAATATGCCACATGTTGCGCTGTGGACGGTTCCCTGGTTCCTAATCAATTTTAGGTTTCCTAACGGAACCTGCCTCCCTAATTTCCGTCATCGTTTACATAGCCTCTGCCGACAAAACTCATGCTAAGGAAAAAGAGAGCCCGGGAAGGAAAAACCAGCGACGAGATTGAACATTTCCCTGTTCCAGCAACGGTCACTATTAGACAAAGATCAGCTGTTTCGATACAGATGCAAGAATCTGAGGTATGTATATATAGTACGTTTTTAGAACAGAATGTTCCGGAACATTCTGTATTCTGACAACAGTATCTTTTACAGAGTTATGTAGGTTCAAAAAATTCTAGGCATGAAATGGAACCAAAGGGGATGCAATTGCAAGATGAAGGGGATATGGATCAATCTAGTGGAGCTGAATATGATGATGATATATCTGATTGATAATAGTTGCCAATAGTAGAAGAAAATGGGACACAAACTACAAATTGGATCGAGTTTTTTTTGGTAACTGTTGGTATTTGGGTCAGCTTACACACCGACTTATACTTGTGCAATCATGAATGACCTCGAGTTATTGTTGGTGAACCTTGTAAACATTTGGTAATGTTATGTACATTAAGTTGATTTTTTTTAGAAATGTGTGATAGATAGAACACCTATTGTTGTATACAATGAGAATCAACAAGTGGGCTTAAATTTATACAAGTCTACAAGTACCATATTCAAGAATATTACATTAGATTTCTACTTTTCATGCCATGTTATGTTACCTATAACGTTGATAATTTAACGAGCTACTCGAGTTTGTTTATCTGAAGCTCGAGCTTAATAATTATTGAGCTTGAGTTGATCTCAAGCACACGGCTAAGTTTTTGCTGTCTTCTGTCCGAACTTCACGTTTTGGCTTTTCATTAATCGATTCTTTTGTTGTCCTTTTTGGTTATTGAACATCGTTTTGTAGAAATAAATGGTTTTAAGCAACAAAAAATGTCGTTTGGTGCAAAAGGGAACTATGAGAATATATCTGTCCAAATAAGATTGGCTATTTTAGTCAATTTCCCATTCTTTTTCTTCCAAAAAAAAAATATATATCAGTCCCAACAAAAAAGGGCATTATGTACGAGATTTGTTGAACAAAGTAATTTTGCAAAACACGACATGAATTAGTGTCGATGAGTTATCAGCAATCTATGCAAAGAATCGTCAATGCACGATTGTACTTCATTCTCTCTCTAGTCTCTAGTATGTATGTATATGTTACGTGAATGACCATAAGTACATATGTATATGCATGGATACACATACATAAACAGGGACCAATTCAAGTAAGAATGAAGATGTTCATATGTGAATCATTAAAGATTCAAAAAAATCTATTTGAAGATATATAAATCTATTTGAAGATATATATATGAACCAACTTTAAGCATTGTTACAATAATTCACATATGAACCATCACTTCTTACATCCTCACGATATTCAACCTTCTTCTTTGACCCTTTCCATGTATCCATTTTCTATTTGTTTTAACAGTTCAAAGTTGGGACCAAAAACATAAAAACGACTTCGTTAGAAAACAACTCTGACCAAATTCTAGTGTTCAACATTTGTAACCACATACATAGACTTGGGATCATGTGAGACCAAAGGTTTTTCGTGAGACCMGTAAGACCAATTCTCAACCCTTGGATTAGATCTACAATCTGAACATTCATAATCACATAATTGACACGAGACTTCTCAATAATCACAAAATTGTCATCGTGCAACTTTAGACCATTAGATCATTAGCTTATAAAGTTAATCAATGAACATAAATTGATGTTATGAGTCTCACGAAAAACCTTTGGTCTCACGTGAACCCAACCCCACATACATAACATCATCCACCAAAATGACCCACAATCATACAATTTCATAACAACCAACTAAACGAGTGCACAGTGCTCCAAATTATCTTGACATAACCACAACCAACTTCTATGTCTCAAAATAAATAAAAGAATCTACCACAAATAAAATAATTTAATAAAAATAAAAAATCACAATTACTACATACAGATTAATGCCCTCCAAATTTTGTAGAGTTAGATGCATAGTTATGTACGGTGCAGTGTCGTTGATAATCCGGGAAGTGAGCCTGTATCACAGATTCATAATGACTCGTAAGAACAATAAACCCATTTTACAGAAACAAGATACGTAGTTATCAAGCGAGAATGGAAGGTTACAGGAACTAGATATTCAGCAGCTCTTGCAATAACCAAGTTTGAGGCAGTTACGGTACAATAGAAATGGATGAAAAGTTAAGTATGTGTCAATAGATAAGGGATCGTGTGAGAATTAAGAGTCATGGTGAGAATAGTGAGAACACTTGCGAGCCTTTCCGTGAGAATAATTTTTTGGGTAAATTACGTTGTTTTGTCCCTGTGGTTTGGAAATGACAGTTTCGTCCCTAGGGTTTGTAATTCATTGCTATTTTCGACCTTATGATTTACAATTTATTGTTTTCCCGGTCCCTGTGGTTTACAACTTTTGACTCTTTTGGTCCCTTGTACTTTAAGGTAGGAATTAGTCCAGGGACAAGAATAACAATAAATTGGAAACCACAGGAACGAAAATAGCAATTTCTAAACCACAGGGACTAAAATCGCAATTTTTAACAAGCCACAGAGACAAACGTAATTTACTCTAATTTTTTTCAACTAGTTTCAGTATCTTCAATTACCTTCAACTACATTCATCTACCTTAATATTCAAATTTATTTTCATTTTTAAGTCATTTTTATGAACTTTTACATACATTTAATCACTTTCACATGTATGAATTTGTTAAAGTTTTGGTCATGATAAAAATAGGTAAATAAAGGTAGTCAAATGCAGATGAATGCATATGAAGGTTTTATTCTCACCTTCTCACCATAACTCTTATTCTCACTGTAAACCAACCCCGTGTTGATAAGGGTATGTTTGGTACTGCGAGAATGAGGTTGGCAGGTCAAAAAATTGTGTTAGGTTTTAAGGTTTCAATTTGATATGTTAGTTTAGTAATATACCAATCTTGTCTCATCTCCCTATTTTTTATTTTGGCAGAATAAATAAAGATGCATTTTTGTTTCACTCATTCCCGTTCTGTCCCAGTCTAAAGTTGCAAAATGTGGAACTAGTTTTTGTTTTGTCCTGCCTCGTTTTGTCATGCGTACCAAACACACCCTAAGGTAATAATTTGACTACAAAATGATTTTCCCCTTCTTTGTTATTGCAAGAAGGTTACAAGTACTAGAGCTTCAGCAGCTCTTGCAACATTTATGGGATATCCTACGGGTATGTCAAATGTAGATTTAAAGGAAAAGCTTGTATGAGCAAGAGAATGGGATTACCTTTTCTCTTTGGGCACGATGGAATCCCATGCTCTCTTTGGATTTTTAAATAATCATCAATCTTGGATCGCGATAACCAAAAGCAATTTACGTATCTTGCATTACCTGAACCATAAATTTGTTAACAAGAGATACTACAAAATGCAACCATGCAGAAGTGTGAATCCCATATGCTCTCTTTTTTAGTGTCAAATTGCATTACAATCATTTAATGCTGGCATAATGACATTATTAGACAGGATATTGCACTATAAGTGGCAGAAAATCTTACCTATCGCACCCCAGAAGAATTCTTCCAAGAACTTTCAAATATGAAGACTTCTAGATGAGCTTGAGGCCCTGTTAGACAGATAACAGAAACGAACCATAGCGAACTGATGTAAGACCTCAAAAGACATTCTGGATTAATCTAAAATAAACAATTTTGGAGGTATAAATCATCTAACCATGCTTGCCGACATTTGACAGCTTCTTGACGGACACTTCTCTTTGGATCATCAAGTGCTTTTGTTAATGCTTGTAGCACCTGAAAATGAACACAAAAATATTTTTAAAAAAACAGCATCAGGTGACTGCACTTTGCAGGCAAGGGGTGATCTAAAGATGACACAAATGCAAAACCAGAAATCAACCAAGATAGCCAATCTCTCCAACCAACTTCACTTTTCAGCCACTTTTCAATTGAATACCCATTTTAAATAGAGTTTACACAAAAAAGAAAACAGATTTTTTTGCATTAAGATTCAGGTTTTTGCGTACGGATCCAAATTTTTGGGTAGGATTCAAATTTTTGCGTAAAGAATCCTTAAGCAAATACGTAAGGATTTTTTTTCTTTTTTTTCCTCCAGAAATCAGTCTTTAAGCAAATGCGTAAAGCATCTGCTTAAAGACTGACTATTTTGGAAGAGGCTCTGAAAAGTGGCTAAAAAGTGAATTTGGTTGATGAGATTGGCAATTTCAGTCAATTTCCCTTCGTCTATTGGTTAGTGACTAGTAACAAAATCCCACCTCCAGCCTGAAAGGATATACCCTAGGGTGGGGCAGCTCGGACATGGCAGTCAAACACTGGATTGCTGTCTCACGTACCAGCTGCACGTGTCAAAAAAGTACCAATTTAGCTACAAATACAGTTAATATTTTCTTAGCCCCCTTTCTTTGGATAAGAACCACACTAAAAACAGGTCAGACAAGTTCAAGGTTGATAAAATAACCGAACCAAGTGTTTATACCATCATGTGCGGGTAGAAGACAAGCTTGTTGAGGCACCTGATGATGATATGTGTATTTTCCATAATGGCTTCCCGACCTGCACATGTATAGCATAGAAAATCAGAAACTTCCGGAAAGTAAATAGCATACAAGTAGCACACTGCTAATTGTGTGTGGCCACTGCAGCTATACACTGTTATATTCGCCCGTTCTCGTGTTCTTTTAAATAGATACCGTTCTCTTTTGATCCTTCCTCTCTCTCTCTCTCTCTCTCCCTTTCTCTGAGCTCTTTTGGAGAAAGACATGGGGGTTCGACATATTCTCTCTCACATGGTACAGAGCCAAGGTCTGCCACTCTAAGGACCCGACACTCTAGCTAGCCCCCTCTCGGCACTCTGGGGCAAGTTGTGTCCATCTAGCCTCCCTTGGAGGGGGGCGTGTTGGAGTCCCACATCGACTAGACTTGGACCATTTCTTTTGTGTGTGTGTGTGTATATATATATATGTTGGAACCTCCCTTTTCTCCTCAAGAGCTCTTTTGGAGAGTGATATGGGGGTTCCATGTATCCTCACAGATGGGAATTACAAAACGAAAATAAATATATGGCAAATCTCACCATTTTTAGCAGTCAATATTCCTGATAAAACAAGGAGCAGGTTATATACAATGTCTCGATTTTGAACATCTTCACTCAGGATCGTTAAACCATCTAGCAGTAATGGGATGAGCTGAAAATTTGGTAATTATATTAAACATTAGCAAGCAAATAACGACCAAATAAGAAGAATATAACAGTGTACAGTATTCAGACTATTTAGAACTTACCTTATTGGCTTCACCCAGAATAGCACTCAGTGGAGAATTAGAAATGACATGTGCAAGGGCCCGATGCAGCATGGATCTGTAAATTATTGGCAGTTCAAAGTAATTACAGTTAATGGAAGTTGAAGATCTGAGGGAATCTTTGAACTAAATGGCTGATCATTTGATGCAAGAAGCATCAATAATTTGGTCCTCAAGTGAAGAATAGATGCATCTCTGAGGGTGCGTTTGGTACTCACGCAGGACAGGACAGAACATAACAGGACAGAAATGTTGTTCGGTGTTTGGTAAGACAGGACTGGTAAAATGACCAATTTACCCCAAATGAGTTGTTTATATCTTTTCTATATTTTGGTTAATTATGTAATTTATTAAATTATAATAAAATAAATACTTTTTATAACAAAACATATCATTAGTAAGTTTTTTTCAAGACGATATATGAAGTTTATTAATAGAAATAGAAATTGATAATGCCGTGTATTAGAAGAAAACCATCGTTTACAAGCAATTGGTGGACGAGAGAGTTAAAACACAGACCATGTATTAGTACAAGTTTCCTTTTGCAAGTTACATGTATTGCCTCACTTTTTTGCCTTATAATTCAACACAACATATTGATTAATAAAGTGAAAACTCATATCATACATTTCTACTCCAACCACAACCATAAACACGTATTGGAATAACAAGTACTACTATGTGGTCCCAAACAGTAATACATTTTGGTGATAAGTTTGTGCCAAATTAAAAAAACTGATAAGCAAGCACCCATTACAATCGCATATGCAAATAGTAATTGCCAACTAAGAGGATTATATTTTGTAATTTAGCATTATATTCAGCATTTTGCTTTTAAGTTTCTTATTATCACCTATCTGAAAAGGTTCAATTTTTTTAAACTAGAGAAAGTGAAAGAAAAGTGAAATGAAAAAGAAAACAAAGGACCCTTTATAGTGTTCAGTCCTCAAAGAAATAAATAAGAATGAGAGTGCACAATGTGGAAGAGCATAAGATATTTAAGAAAGCTGGATTATGTACCTCGTGATTGGTGAATCTGATTTCACTACTGATGATAGTAAGATCGGCATCACCATATTGAAAAGTCGTTGCTTATACAGTGGTCTTATGGTTGCATGTAATCTTTTGTTCAAACAAGCCTCGGAATCACTCATTATAATACTAAATGAATCTGCAGCAGCTCTCATCAGGTGAGTTGTTTCCTGATCTTTACAATCTTCAGGTGAATCTCCATTTGAGGTTGGCAAATGTCCATTTGAAACCAAGCAATTCAGCAAAAACTTGATCACATCTTTCACCTTTTCATGGCCCCGCATAAGTAATCCTTTTCCCATCCATGCTAATCCAAGAATAGCATGGACGCGGACAAATCCATTATTTACATTGCTTAGTCTTAAATTACTCACCCCTATCTCGTTGCCATCATCATCATCATCAACAAATCTAATTGGGTGACTGGTATCACATGATTTCCATATGTAACTGTTGAATATAATATCCATTGCTTCTTCCAAGCTACAATATTGCATATCAGCAAACCTGTTTTCTTTCAAGGGCATCTTGTTAAACAAAGATCCCAAAGCATGAGCTGATGGAACATGACCATTGGGGAGAGATCTCATGAGTATTTGCAATATTCCTTCGGTGTTCTTCAAGTGTGTTTTCGGATGAAGAGCTATTATTACTGAATCAAATAATGAGATAATCCACTTGTCTCTACAAGAGAATTCAGCAAGTTGCAAGCCTTCCTCGACTCGAAAAGTCGTGCTTGAAGAAAGTATGCTGAAGGCTTTATCAAGAAGTATGCTCTGACTGTCCTCTGAACAGCTTGCCACAGCATGTTTCATTGCATTCATTGTAGTTTCAAGAAGTTCCTGATGCAACAGAACACACATTCATTATTTAAATCAGCTGCAAAAGTTTCCTAGGTTCTAACAACAAATTTGAAAAACACATGGAATTATCCAACATTAAACACTTGATTGCATGGAATTGTTCCTGAAATCTTTAATGTGAAATGCAGATATAAGACTCACTTTTTCCTTGACGCCTTCAACAAAACGCGTGCTATCTTCTATTTCATCCCAAATCTTTAATGCGAAATGCATAGGCACGTCATCAGAATCTCTGACATTCTGAAACCTGGTCATTGCATCATTGCTTTACATTATTTCCAGAAGACAATCAAGTCAAACATATAAGATATAGAAGACGAACGAACCAAGCACTTGACAAGAGCATGGCCAGGTATGGCGGGAAAAGTTACCATGATAGAAAGCATAAAAAGGAATAAAAAATATCCATTCTTACTTCAACCTTTTTCCTTCAAGTTGAAAGGGGATCCTACATATTACAACTGCATGTTCTGTAATACTCCCGTAAACTGATACAGAAGTTTAATTTACATCACACAGTCACTTGTTTTAATCCTTTTCTGGAATAGAACACAAGTCAGTTATCTATGCAACGAAGCTAAACAAAATTGCACACAAATAGCAGTTCTCCTGGCATCACAGGCTCAAAAAACTTGCTGATTCAAATAACAAAGTGGAACATAAAACCCAAGTACCAACATAGATTATGGCAATTTGCCGTTGGTGTAAATACTTCTTTCTGTGCCAAGCAAGGGAGTTCTTTGATAACTGTACCAAGAGTGAAGGTGCAGGCAAGTTTACTCACTTCTCAAACTGCATAAGTTAGATGGTCCCCAAGTAGCTGTCGCTAAACCCGAGTTAACTTCATCATTTTATGTTTGAGGTGATATCAACTTATGTTTATTTGATGCATCCTAGTTGATTAATAGTTGTACTTCTGGAACTAGCTAAATAAGCACTGGCATTTCCCCAAATGAAACTGTCGGTCTGGTGAATTCTATAATAGAAGCCTGTTGGCGAACTAACTCCAAAAACCTATATGAACTAAGGATTACCGATAAAAATAGCATACTCATGCCGGCAGAGAGAAAACATGAATAAGAGGTGGGCCTACCAAATAAACGTTTAATTGAAGACTTAAGCTCTACTTGTCTCTATTTCATATCTAGTGCACCCACCATTAAAAGATCTAAGACAGAAAGAACGAAAAAAGAACACAATCAATTCCAATCAAGCAAAAGATTAATTGCATAAACTGAGCCCATCGATCCCTTAGTGACTTCAGAACAGAAAGCTGATGGAATATGCGCTGTCAGAACTGTTGGAGGTTGACAATCTAGTAACTAATATAAGCATGACAATTGAGGAGCAGAGGGATATCAGAAAAGAACATACCATGGAAGCACCTTGTCTGCATAGCATTCCAAAAGGAGCATTGCATGTTCAGCTGGCTTTGAGTTTCCATCAAGCTATAAGATCAAAATGCGCTAATTAAAAAAAGTGATTCCCGGTACCAAAAAAGTAAAAGATTCAATTTAGTGGTCAGCTTCACTGACATAGAGTGGGATCAAACCCATGTATTACCCTTTAAGCTCAAAAGCATTCTTTTGGTATTGATCATGGAATTAGAGTTCCTAATAACTTATGAGTAAACAAATTGATAGTGCATGCATCAACTAGATCAGCCAACATCCCCTTCTATCCGAAATTGAAGCAAGAAACACACATACCCAAGATCCGTGTAAACTGGTAGAGATAGCCTTGTTCAATTCTTGGACAATCTTCAGCATATATTTCAGACTAGTCCTGCCAATTTCAGATACTGCTTCCACTTTGAGTGACAAAGGCATAGTAGAATCATCATAAGACAACAAAACCACCATCCTCTCTACAACAATAACATCAAAGCTTGGCATTTTCTCAGAATCATGAGATTTTTCAATAAATGAGCCAATTTCAACTAATGCCTTTAATACATATCTCCAAAGAGATGTATTGTTGAAATTGAGGACGATAATTGACATAAATTCAACCAAGATATTCTCAAATGTGGATTTTGATACCGGCAAGAAACTTCCAGGGAATGAAGCCAAAATCTGCAATCCCCTAACTGCAAAAATCAAAAAATGAAGGTAATTTGAGGGATACCAAACAATAAACAGGCCTTCCATCCCAAACTAATCAAGACATTCGGAAAATGAACCCAAAAGAAATTATAAAGAGAAAAAATCCAACAGGAAAACAAGCAGAGGTGAACAACCCGGACATGAGTTACGTCCCTTCTATGCACTCCTATCCAAGGCCAACACCTTACTACTTCAGCAATGTCAATCCTGGTCGGTTCCTACTGCTCTACATCTACCTCTCTGTTAATGGGTGCACATCCATTTCAATATCCGAATGCTGCTAAATCATCTTGTGTACATGCTGTGTTTCTGGTGACCAATTACGCCCATAACCATAGCAGGTCTTACCAAATTTACCTTACGGCTTCAATGGACATTCCAATCACCACACTGAAACATGTCACCACTCACCAGTGTGTCCACCCTGCCTTTGTCCCTGGACTAACATCCGCATAAATCTTAAGTCCTACTTTTAAATTACAAGGAGTTCGCAGACCTCCAACTCAGAATGAACACCTTGCCTAGTCCCATTAGTTAGCATGACATAATTGGTAAAACTATGAAAGGCATACACCACGGTAAATCATCTTTTATGTCCATGAGTGAATCTATAACTAAAGCAAAAAAGATAAAGATCAATGTTAACCATTGTTGTGGAATACCAAAGGAAAATGTGATTTGTACATAACTACATACTACAAAGATCAACTGTAATTCCAACATGGAAGGAAAGAGAGGTGTATTAGAGCACTAACAATGTGCAATTGATGATAACCATAACTACTTAGGTGTCTTGCGTTATGCGCAATTATAGATATATCAATTAAAGGTTATGAAACTAGACTTCTTGATCAATGTGTGACTAAGCAGGGTATCAATATTCTCTAATCCCAGGGGTTTTAGTCATCCTGCCTGCCTTTGCTTCCCAGGTGTTCAGACAAATCATACCATGTCTTGTTTGAGCATGGGCATCAACCTATACTCTGTGACAGCAAAATACCCAAAATAAAATAGTTAACACTGAACAGAGTTCTAGGTTCTAACAGCATCCAAAGCAATCTCACAATACAAGAGAAAAACTGCATCAATTGATTCATCATCTGTAAATCAGCGAATCATTGTTAGATCTATAGGATTTGATTTGATGGATAATGAGCCAGCCAAAATGGTATTTCTTTTTGTTTTTGGAGAATTCGATATGGATGCATTTCAGAGAGAAGTAATTACCGACTGAAAGATGAGAATGACAATCACAAAGATATTCACAAAACTTCCTTTATTCCTTTCTTACAATATCATAATTTTACCAACTTAATATACCTGTTTGCTATCTCATTACATCTGTAACCTAAGCGACCACCAGGAAAGCACAGTATTTAGAACAAGACAAAAAATTTGTATTACTTGTTGAATATTTTAAGCGGGTATTGTGTACATCTATCATCTATCAACTGGTAAATATACCATGAGATATGTTACTCAACAGCGTGCATGATATGAATTGGATCTCTATGACACTTGCAACTTCTCATTTTGTGATTTTCAGAAGACATATTAATTGAAGCCAGAAACAGAGATCTTACCCCCAGTGTGATTGAAGTCATCCTGATTGATTTCTTTCAAACTTTTTATGAGGGAAGAAGTCAATGAACTACAAAAGCTATGAAGTATGCTGCACCATGTCTCATTGGCAAGATAAGTTATTGAGGTAGGTTCATCATAGCCCACAACCAAAGTTCTGCAGGCAGCAAGTAACTCAACACAAATATAGAGGTACCCAAACTTAGGTTTTTCAGAAACATAATCTTTCTCTTGCCCCAGTGGATTTTGCATCGTTGATCCCAAACCATTTACTAAGCTGGAGAAAAAACTTTGAAATATTGCATTACAAGAAGCAATGGAGGCTGCGGCTGAAACATATAGAATCCGACCAACTGCATTTAATCTTTGCTTGTCTGGTACTGTAATATCATCATAATTCTTATTATCCAGGAGAGACGTCAACATCATGTTAATGTCCATGTCCTTCAGAACCAAATCTAGAAATACGCCATTATCTTGCTGAATAAGCTTCTGCAGAAGAATGAGAGCTTCGGCTACAATTTTGTTATCCTGGTATCCTACATAGCTCTCTAAATATGAACCCACGGTCAACATAGATGGTCCGGAAGTAAAAACTGCGTCTTTTAATGATGACCAAAGAGCTTCAAGATGTTCTAGCATTCGGTGTGCACCATACTTAACTGTGCAATAACTAAGATACTTCAAAGATTCAACCTGTGACCAGAGAAGTCCTTCAAATATCAGAAATAATAAGATAAAGTTGCTTTCTTAAGATGCATTCAGCTTTCACCAACCTTTGCCGATGGAAGAGATGAAGAAAGTTTCTCGAGAAGCAACGGCACAGCAAACGGCTCAAAGAGGGCCGTAGATCCAAAAGCCAGCTGCGTTAGAAAAATAAGTTTAAAAATAGAAAACAGAAAACATTAACTAAAAGCAAACTGCATACCATTAGTGCCCTGGAGAGCTCCTCCCTCTTCACATCATCTTCGCCCTTTGGCTGAGTAGAAAATGGAAAGATTGAATATGAGATGCTACTCATGGTTTACTTACTTATTCCAAGTATTTATTGAGAAAGAAAAAAAGGAGAAAGGTTAGGGAGACAGGTTGTGATCCACGTGTGAAAACGGGTTTTATATGCACATAGCCGCACAGTCAGTTGAACTAACAGGCTCCGCTCAATCATTACCAAAGATCAACACCAGAGGGCATTCATTGAGAGGTCTTAATGACAAACTACATACAGTAATTAGAAACATGCATATTTCTTAACCAACATTGACTAATATCACAAGCAAAAATGGAAGCTAATGCGTTTCCTATTCTCTTCCTTTTCTTTGATAAGAAGATTTGAATATAAAGTATCCTTTGGAACTCCCAGTATATAAATTACACCTCATAGTAGCTTATTAATTGATCAAACTCCACTATAGTAGTATAGTGAAGTTATGATTGCTGCTAATTAAGTAAAATATTGTGCTGGCAATCTTTTAGTGAACTTCTGTATATTCCCAAGGCAATTGTCATTGACAAAGATATATAATTTACAAGATTTTTTGAGTATCCTCACATGTGTAAAGTGGATAGGGAAATAAGATCCCAAGATGTTAAAAAGATCCTCAGCATAGCTTGCTAGTGAACTAGATGAATCAGGATATAACTGTGCCAGCATTTCCACAAGATGGAACGTGAGCAATAAGCATTGCGGATCCTTTTCCCCATCTATGGCTTCACAGATCACATAAACAAAGTCATCCTCCTGCACAAGCAAAAACAGTTGACATATTATAATCACACACAAAAAAAATGTGCATGAAAAAACGTAAAATATCCAATTGGCAAGGAAGGATGATACTTGATGATTGAACATGTTCATTCTACATGAAAACTAAAAGTTGCCATAGCACCTATCTTACATGATTGATATCAGTGTTTTGTTATTATTACCTACCACTTCTCTGGCCAACAGTTGGTCGGATACTAGTGCTTGTCAACTTTTCTAAAATGGGTCTCCACTTTTTCTGTGACACTTAACTTAAGAAACATAATTACCAGGCACATTTGCATATGAAAATAAAAATATAAAACACATTTAAATGATGGATAAAGATAACTTCTTGAGGAATTTAAGCTTTGCAACTTCTAGCAAAAGTTGCACAAAAGGGCGCATCATATTAATATTTGTGCGACCACCTGTCAGCAATAAACTTTACTTCCATGCCTCTCCACAAATAGAACAGAAGAGTGCAGGGAAGAACAAATGACAATATCAAACACTATTAAAGTACTTTAATTACATTCTGAACAATTTTAGAAGTCAAGGAAGATGGGACAACAACATAAACTCAAGTTAAGAGAGCAGAAAAATGTCTGAAAGTAGCATCTGTGTCCTCTCACTAAAAATAAAATAAACACAAGAAGCAGCACTAGACATCATAGATCATCTAACATACCCTAAAATAAACTAGTAAGTAAACAGTGAAAATTCATTGACATATGCTTGACTGAACAAAGCAAATCAGAGACAATATAATAATAGAAAAAGAAGTAGCACGACAAAAAACAATGGGAAGAAGGTAGGTAAATCTTGACTAAATAAAGAAGGTTACCATGGTCATTACTGTGTCTGGATAACAATCTATAAGGCATTCTAGAATCTCAAAGCAAAGCTGCAAGAAAACTCAAGCATAAGATAAAGAGTCAAATTAGAGCAGAATAAAGATAACAGATGGATATTAGCAAAAATGATGATGAAAATAAAAAAACATGTCTTTAGTGGAGAGGTCATAATAGTTGATAATAATAAAGCAATCACTACACCAACATTGACAATTGGGTATATCTATATCACCTTCCTGTCATGCTGTCCTAAAGATTGAACTTGTAGATTTTGCATGAACGACTGAGCAACTCCATTTGCATCACCACTGCTGATTGCACCAGTGTCACCTTTCCTCCTCATTAAAGCCAAGCAACCAACAAGTGCACCGCGCAATGCTCGCCAATCTGACTGATAAGGGAAATTTATATCATTAACATTAGTGAAAGCACAACCAAATGCTGAATGTATTCACAAGATAACAAATAAAATTTATCGTGTTTAAACCTGTAAGGTGTGTAGACATAAATTGTATGCACAGTATGAATTGGGGTATATTATATAGAACACACCATCTTTATTCAAGAAGGTTAAAATGGAAAAAACAATGCTAGCTACATTACCAAGGCAAAGTTAAACTAGGAAGAAGCTTAAAAACGGGAAACAGTTAAGGGGCTGTTTACCAAATGCTTACCTGGGTCACATTACCTTACCGGGTGAATATGGTAAGGACCTCTTACATGGTAAGAGCGGAGGCAAGGACCGAGAGTCTTAGCCGGTAAGTGAGGACGACGACTCTTACCATGGTAGCGCTTACCGGGTAAATTGCTGCATATGATGCCGTTTTTGATGACTAAAATCTTACCCAGTAAGTAAGTGATAGTGTTGAATGTTAAACGGCCCCTAAGACTCCCTACTCCCACATTATACAAGACCAAAGTAGCTTTCAGATCTCAAATCATAGTACATTCCAGTTAGCAAGTCATATGAAGTCTTTTATTTCTGGCATCGTTTTCTTCTCTATTTGCAGTGCCCTTTCATATTGTGCATTTATATCATTTTTAGACTTGAAAATAGTATATCTGGCAATCAAGATCAATATTAGCCTTCACTAAAAGAAGAAATGAGTACAAAATAAACAGAACCAGATCTTGCCACAAGCTTCAAATACCTAAAGGCAATCTGTTTTGTCTATGAAGCAGAACAAGGATTACTTAGCCATGAATAATGGAAGTAAAGTTGAGTCTAAAAGAATCATGCATAAAAAACAAAGACCCAAATAGCAGGCAATCTAACACATTATATTGCATTCTCTTGGGTCAAAACCTTATATCCTAGAGAAACAAGACACAGGATGAGGTTTAATTATCTAATGCCAGAAAAATACAAAGCAATGGCTTGAACTGCATGTGAACCACCTTGGGTACACCATTATACACAAGAGTTAGGAGACTTTTTAGCTGGACTACTGGAAAAAAGCAGCCATGCATATCTCCTGGAATCAAATTTCCCATAAGAAAACATAACATATCGATGTTGAATGTCATTATATTCTTAAAAAGGTAGTATGCACTTTTCACAAACCTCCAACCATAACCAGTTTTGGTTCACTCTGAAGATCAGCTGGGAAATTATATTGACAACACCATTATGAGAAATTCATATAAACCCAATATATGACATGTTGGGTATGGTTTATATCTTTTATCAAACTTGAGGAGCGTTAGATGTATCTGGTAGTTAAGTCTAACTTAGGCATGTTTTAGGAGTGTTATGTTGTTTGATTTTGTTCCCTTTTATTCCATGACATACTCTATAAGATGGAATATACAATACAAGTAAGAGAAAACTAGTAAATAGGAAACTTAAGAGGGATAATACCAAAGCAAAGAACATTCCCTTGCATCTAAAGTAGGATGTTTTTTTCCATTAATTAACAGTTGACTAAACTCACCAGTTTTTCTGCAAAAAAGCCAATCAAACTATGTATTGTTGTATTGTCTAAAGGCTTTGATGAAATGCGAGTCAACAACTCTGCAAGAAGAAGGATACCTGAACAACAATAAGGCAGCATTAATCCGGAGTTTAGTAAAGCAAAAATGGCCTCATGTTTGCACTATAACAAAACTGAAATTCCAGGAAAAAAGGAGAAGAAACATTCAGTAGCAAACAGGTATCAGGATGCTATAAACTCCACTGAAAGATCACATTCACATTTGACTCATCAAATAACAATCCTGGATGTCAACTCAAATCCAGCAAAGTCTTTAAGAGAAAGTTCGGTTGTCCTTTAGCATAACCTCATAGAGAAAAACATGGATGTGCACATGAAGACAAATTGATGCAAAATTGCAAATTCTAAAGTACGATTAATATATTTCACGCACTTTATCAAACTAAATAATCAAGCAATTTCAAATGAGGTGTATATCTCATGACATATTGACATTAACAAATTCTTTTGTCACTAAGGACCAAGTACATTGAATCTTTCATCATTCAATTTTTTGGCAAAAGATAATGGATTCGCGGTCTCTATACCATTGCATTAGCGCATATACAAGGTTAGAAAATCCCAATATAGTGAGATACTGAAAGCAAGCCACCTGGGAAGTACCAAAGCTTTGGACATCCACTTAAACAATTATTAGAGCCAGGCTATAGATGCAAGTTCCAATACTTAACCAATAAGCAGAGATAACACAAGCCAAACATGGCTGCCAGTTTGACATATGCCAATGACAGCCTACAACTGCCTATGATCTCAACAGCAAACGCTTGCATGAGAAAAAGCAAACAATCAATTTTATCAAAGTAATATGCCAAAGAAACCAAATTCAAAACTTCCAAAACTAGAGAATAGAAGTCCTCAAAACTCATAAGTCAAGCATATACAGTAAGAACGAAGAATATGATTGATGTGCTCCTGAAACTCACTCAAAGATGTCATGAGTTGCAATTTTCAGCGACCAAAGCCTTTCACAGCTAGTAAAATGCAGAACAATGTCTCATGAAATAGGATAATAAAGCAATTAACAAAAATGGGTTTTCTAGAGGTCAGGGGTTCAAGTCTCACCAGGTGAGAAGTGTGTGTGTGAGTTTAATTTGTTGTATATAAGTACCATGTACTTCAAAAAGAAATGGGCTTTCACCTTATTTTTAACTAAATGCATACAAAATCCATCTCAGCTTCCCATCTGGAATTTGAGACAGGCGTTTCCAAATGGAACCATCCACAAGTGGAGATATCTAGCTCCTACATCCGAAAAATAAGGGCTAAGGCTTGAATGTCACAAATGAGCAATCTGTGTAGGTTTGGGCAATGACACTTCGGGTTTGTAATATGTAAGATCCCATATTGGTTGGGGAGGGGAACTAAGGTTGCCTTATATGGGACTAGATACCTCCTCTATCAGACGCGTTTTAAAACCGTGAATCCAGGTGTGTGGATTAAGCGGGCAATATTTTGTACGGTTAGCCTGGGATGTTACAGATGGTACCAAAGCCGGGTACCAGACTGGTGTGCCAGCGAGGACGCTAGGCTCCCAAGGGGGTTGGATTCTAAGATCCTACATCGGTTGGGAGGGGAACTAAGGTTGCCTTACGAGGGACTTGATACCTCCTCTATCAAATGCGTTTTAAAACGTGAGTCCAGGTGTGGGGACAAAGCGGACAATATCTAGTACCGTTAGCCGGGATGTTACATAATAGGACCCCCACTGACAAGGGGCCTATATACAAAGGAAGAGAGCCACAAAAAGAACATTCTGATTATGCCAGCAAAGGCAGCACTTGTACACGGTATACAACCCGTCCTTTGCATACAAGATGGAGCCATCTAAAATTGGTACATTGGGAGATAAACAAGCAATTACCTCTGGCACGAATGATGTTGTCGGTAGTAGTTAAATACATCTCCATTTCTCTTACCTAGACGCCGAACAGAAACGTTTCTTAAATATGTTAACATCAGAGAAAAAAGCAAGAAGACAAATTGATTGCTAGAAACAAACCAGTGATTCCAGAGTTATGATATCATTCAGCAAGAGCTTTGCAATTGCATCTAAACTTGCATCCTGAAATCAATTATCAGCTTCATAAGAACTCCAGTTCAAGCAAATTAATCAATTAGCACGAAAATTAGAAACAAATCCACAAAATAAAGATGAAACTTAACCTGCTGAGCAGGAGATTTAGACGACGATGAATCGACATACGTTTCGATATGCTTAACACAGTTAGTTGTAGTTGAATCAGCCATTGGGAGTTCGATTGTAGCAGACTGCAAGTCTGCAACGGCTATTGCACCGAGGGTTTTAAGGGTTTTGCTGTTTCGATATGTTTGGGAATTTTGACGCATAAACCGCGAAAAAGAGCGAGCACTTCTTTTTACAGCATTGTTGACTTGACCTGATTTATATGTTTAAAATAACGGTTAAGTTTATTTTATTATTGTAGTTAATTAAAACAGTATTATATACAATAATTCAACTTGTAAATATTTTATTTGGTAAGAGTTGTCATCTCATTTACTGATAAAGATATTTTATCATTATCATTGTTCTTACTAGATAAGATTTTTACATGTTCATCTGGTATGGTAAATAACTCGATAAATGCTTACTGGATAAACATTTACCAGCCGTTTAATCTCACTTACCGATAAAGACACTTCATCGTTATCATCGCTCTTACCAGATAAAATTATCGGTTTTTGTCATATTCATCCGGTAAGATAAATGACTCGGTAAATGCTTACCGGATAAAAATTTAGGAGATATTTACTATATGTTCATCCGGTAAGTGTAAGCGCTCACCAGTAAAAAAACGTCAACATCAGTTACCTTATTGTGTAACATTATCGGTCATCAAAATGGATTATTGGTAAACGTCTTAAACCCGTAAGTGTTTATCGAGTAAGACTATCGATACTTGTCTTCTTTTTTACTGGATAAGATTATCAGTTATGTAAAAATACGTTAACTCCCTGTAATAGAATGGAATAGAAAATTTTATCATAGGCGGTTACACGAGATTAGTATATTTTCTTATTAAAAATAAACTTCAAAATCGATGAATTACTATATCATATCAAGGGTTGATTGTCAGTTGCTGAATAGTTTGGTACAGAATGATTAAATGATCAAAATGATTAAGAAACCCACGTGATATAGTGCAAAATGAAATATAATTGTTTGGTAATTGTTTACGCTGAAATTATGGCGTTGAATGGTTAAGGGATGCTCGGGGTAGAAAATCATTTAGAGAGTTTTAAAATCATTAAGATACAGACTTTTTTTGGCAAAATAAGATTCATCTTTTAACAATTCAGATGTTGCCTCTTAATTAAACTATTAAGAGGTAAACAAACAACCCCTTAGTAAAGGCCAAACTTGTATATTGTATTTATCAATTCGTCATCAATTGGGTTCATGGAGTTTAAATATGAAGTTTTACTTATACAGTAATAAATTGATTTTAAAAACATAAGACAAAGGTTTCATAAATCATAAGAAATTGCATTTTATTAATAATAAGTTAAACTCATAAAAAAATCGTCAAATACTTACAACCTTTTAAATTATTTAATTATAAAATTTATATAATTGTTATAATAATCTAAATTTTTATCGTATTTAATACCTTTTTAAATCGTCAAAAAAAATTACTATATCAACACACCTGATCCAATTTGTTCTATGTAACGATTAAAAACTACATGCTTTGATTTGTTATCCAACTCTTCCATTTTGTACCAACGAAATTTGATATTTTATAACTTTTTTTTATCTGGGGTTGACAACTTTTCGAACCCGACATATTCATCTTACTTCATGCTTGACTATTCCAACTATTCTCTATCAGTTTCAAGATGGATCTTGAACTGATAAACATGATGTTTCTTGTCCCAAGTCCAGCATGTAGCAGAATTGGTTCCAAGATGCATAATCGTACAAACATAGAACGAGTCGAGTATGACAATCATAATCTAGAGGTACACTTTTCTTAAGGGATTGGGCTCCTTTCTGATACTAGTCTCTTAACCGAGTTTTTATACCACACTTCTACCCATGTTATTTGCCTACGGACACGACCATGAAAATATTTCCATCTTCTCTAATGCATATTTTATTCACGTCTTTTTCAACGAGTAATTGTGGGTTTCGTGCCAACTTACACACACCGACTACTCCCTCATGCGACCACCAATGCCTGGAGTCATCGTAGGTGAACCTCCATGGCCACTAGGGTTTTGGCAGCGCCTATATGAGATTTTCTACTACATCCCCCTGATGCTTAACCTGTGTGCCACAACCCAAGTGGTTTTTATAGTCTTGTTACTTGCAAAAATTGTGATGCTATGAAGGAGTTGCCACTTGCCAAACCTATCACAAGTTTAGAATCCTAAGTTTTAAATGAGAGATCAAAATCACAACTTAATTTCAACCTTTAGAGAAAAGAGTTGGAAGTGCATCCAAATGCTTACATATTTTCCATTTGCAAGCTATGGTCAAAGAATGGAGTTTGTGTCATCCAAAGAGACCTCTTCCAACAAGTCCATAAACCCTTTGTTAATATGACACTTCGGAATCTCTTGCTCAACTGTAACGTCAGCGGTTGCTGCTTCAAATCTCATCCACAATTCTCTCTTTAAAGTGTTCTCACCGGCCCGCCTCCCTCTTAGAACCGTGGTGTCAAGATCCTTACACATTGGAGTGTTATCAATAACTGTCAAAATTTACACACAACCACCGAAGTCAAGAAAAAGAATATACCAATATAAAAACCAAATCAAACAAACCCAATATATCTCACGCACAGGAGAATACAGAGGCGGAGCCACATTGGAGCCAGAAGTGGCATTGGCTCCCCCTCAAACTTCAAAAAATAAAATTTGGTATAGTTTTAAACCTCAATTACCCACTTGAAACTTTATTTATTCATATCAAATTCTTCTTTTTCTTCCTTTATAAATGCCAAGTTTCCTAAACGCTCTAAAATAGACAAGTTACTTTACTAAATACACATTATTTTTTCAATAAATTCAATGCATTTTCAAATGGTCGGGGGGAGTTATTGTCTATCGTTGGCCTCTATGGTAGAATCAGTCGGGGGACCTGAGAGGCGGTGGTTTACCCTGCGGCGGATGTCAGCGGTTCGAGTCCGCTTATCTTCAACTCGTGAACTTATTATAAATGCCAAGTTTCCTAAACGCTCTAAAATAGCCAAGTTACTTTACTGAATACACATTATTTTTTCAATAAATTTAATGTATTTTCAAATGGTTTTTCTTATTTATATGGTTATCTACATACATCTTGTATTTGTTTCTATAAATATAGACATAGTTACGTTGTATAGGTCACTCATGTTTTTCAACTCTTTTTTACAACCATTTTCAGGACAAGTATTTGATTAAAAAACACATATACTTAAAAGGGTTTCCTCGACCTTGAAATAGTGATTTTTCTTGCATTTTTTTTAGGCACCCCCTAGATAAATTTTCTGGCTCCGCCCCTACGTGGTATCTGGGAAAAAAGAATCTACCAGTATGGCTATGGCAACATGTAAATATGAATAGATGCGTACCTTCATTGCGTGAAACAACACTTTGAATACCACCCACATTGGCCAAGTTTGTTTGAACATCTTGGATGACACCATCATCACTTGGCTCCAGCAGAATGCAAGTCTTGGGTGGTGACATACACCAATTTGGTGAAGCTTCCACCGCTTTTCTTGCATTTCTTAGTTTAGTAATGGGCCTAATTCCAAAAATCTCTGGGTATTTCATAGCCAAATGTCCAGAAGGTTGACTGCTAGAGGGTTCAGAATCTCCAGACCGACCACCACCAACAGGAGCCATGGTTGGGATTTTAGTGCCGATAATGGTCTTCTTGCAGTACTCAGAAGCAGGTTCCAACAATATACAAGACTTTGGTGGTGACATTTTCAGGTAAGGAGTAGAAACAACCAGAGAATCATTCCTCCTTACCATCTTTTCAGGAGAAGAAAACTCAAGTGCCACGGTGCTTTTCACATCAGTGGCAACAGGATCAGAAAGCATCGGCTTTACTTCTATGCCATTATTCAATTTTTGAGCCACTGGCCCAACAGTAACGTCATTGGTTATCTTCTCGAATACCAGCTTAGATGATTCCTTTAGTTTGGATGAGAATGCTGTAGGTCTAGGCAGAGGTGTTAACAGAAAAAGGTTTCTACCACCCTCTGCAGCACCGTCGGCACGCCAAGACACCAGGGGCGATGGAGAGACCAAGAAATCATCAAGCTTGTATATATCTGGGCTATCAAGAGCTTTGTTTGTGTCCTCGTTTATGGAAGGGGTTATCTTCTTACTCATTAAACTCGTTCCAAATTGATTCTCAGATCCTGTAGTATGGGTGGAATAAACTTTCTTGAATCTTGAAATCCATGGCTGTATTTGAGAAATTAATGGAAAATGTCAGAATAACACACAAGACATATATGAAATATATAACAAATACTCAGCATCAGCTACCCCAACCTTTAGTGAAGTTTGCATCTCGTACAATACTTGAGCAAAAGATTCGATTTCCTTCTTGTTCCTAACTTTTTGTTCCAATGCTTGTACTACGAGTTCATCGATCTGCACATTACAGTTTGACCCATTCAAAAGCGCAATCAAAGATCAAAGATGTCTATGGCTTACTGTGCCAGAACAAAAGGGAATAAAACACAAGGTACTTCTTATAAACAATAGAATTGCAACCATAGAAAAGCAAACTCAAGGGCTGTTTGTTTGGTTTTCCATTAAGTTGTGTATAGATAAAGTTGTCTGTATAGAATGTGGAAGTTTTTGTTTGGAAGGGCTTTTTCATATGATGAATGTGTTTTTCATTTGGGAGGGGCAGGTTTAAAAAAACTTGGCTTTATGCATAAAGCTCCCTCCTAAAAGCTTATCGAATAACCCACTTTCTATATCATTAAACCACTAACAAACAGTCAGATATAGCTCACAAAATTCGCTATGAGTCTCATTAAGCTCATTAAGCTGCTAACAAACGGATCCTCAGAATTGTTCAAAGGGCAACAGTTTCGTTATAAATGGTATCACCATTTCTCGAATGCTCTATCACTTCATCAAGTTTATCAGTCACATAACATGGCTAATGAGTTTAATTTAATACCACAATAGTCCATTCCTGGTGATTTAAGACTCAGGAAAGCTCCTCCAGTTTCAAAAACCAGACACCCTAACGTTGATTGAGACCAAATAAAGGCAGATAGAACTATAACACCATAGACTATCCCATAAATGTGCACACATATTACAAAACCAACATCGAATTACAATAAATGCCCAAACTTAAAACATAAACATACAAAAATTTATCATTATTTTCAAAATTTATCCCTAATATAAATTGTCAAAACCCTTGATTCGATTATTTTGGAGGTTCTTGCAAGTATAATCATTATTTTCAAAATTCACCCCTAATAGTTACTCACCTGATGAATGAGGGCAGATAGATCGGAGTGAACGAGGAGAAGTCGATCGAGTGGATCGCCGCCGCAAGTGGTTACCGGATCTTGTTGTTTGGTATCGGGATTAGGTTTCTTCAATACGGAATTACCATGGGAAGGTTTAAAACCGCCATTGGAGACGTCTCTGAGAGGCTTCCTCTTCGATCTTGATCTGGATTTGACGTCGGCGATCTTCGGCATTCTTCAAACCTCAGGTCCTAACGGTAACTTCAGCGGCGACTCTTCTCTGTTTTACTCGAAAATTCAAATTTTCCGATTTCCACGTTTGATTTGTCAGGAATTGCCCTTGTTTCTTGTATTTATATTCAGTTTTTTAACCAAATTCAGCAAATTTTCTATTTATTTTATTTCTTTATTTATATTTACAAAAATAAAATGAAATAATAACTTACTTTTACAATTTTTTTTATTATGATATTTATTTTCAATTTATTATAGTAAAATGCTTTTAAATTATTTTATATTATCGAAAATGTTTTCAAATTATTTTTTATTAATGCATTCTACTTTTAAAAATGTATCTATCATAGCAATGAGCCAATGAGTAATTTGTTACCTTTTAAAATTTGTTTTCTTTGTTTAGGTGTTTGCTTAAAATGACATAGACGTAGGGGTGTGCATCATGCGGGTCGGTCGGGGTTGGGTGAGCAAACCAAAAACCCGATCGAATTTCCGGTATGGAAGTCAAGCCCCAAATTTGGGGTTTCTGATTTCAGATTGTTTCACATTATGGTTAGTCAGGTTTCAGGTTAAGGTTTGTCGGATTTAGATTTAGTTATAATGCAAAATGTATAAATATTTATCCGGTTTTAGGGATGAATTTAATCGGTTGAGATGACTGATGAAATCGTTAGTATGTTTAGTAATTAGAAAAGAACAAGAATGATTAGAATTTAGCATTTTCAAAAGATAATTAGATAGATAAATATATTTATACAATACTTAAAGTATATATATATATATATATATATATAAAGAGAGAGAGAGAGAGGGGGGGGGAGCATTCAAATACAAATCGACTCAATTTATACAAACTAATAACAATCAATCACATAAATCTATTTGTTCTTTATTTTTAATTTATAAGAGCATTATGGTCTTTTGAGATTACAATAGTTATGATTGGTAGGTATTTAATACTAACAGATAAGTTTGGTAACTTTTTATTTTATATAAATATGGATTATATCTTGATTAGCTATCACGTTTTTAGTAAATATTTAATTGATTTATCCATTAAATATGTTGATACAAATTGGAATATTTGAAAATTGTACAATAATTGTTGATTAAAAAATATTTGTATGTTTCATTATTTATTAAAATATCTCCCCTTTTATAGTTTCTATATAACTCTATTTCATAACTAACATATTCATCATTTCAGTTTCATTATATTTTATCATTAACATATTCATCATTAACAGTTTCATTATGTTTCATCATTAACATATTCATCATTAACAGTTCTATTATGTTTCATCATTAACAGTTTAATTCTGTTTCACTCTGTCACATGTCACAGTTTCATTTTGTTTCATCATTAAAGGTTTCATTCTGTTTCGTCATTAACACTTCTAAATAGCATATGGTGCCATCATTAACAGTTTCACAATGTCCAATGAAACACGTTCACGAGATTGAATGCTAGAAAGAGGATTTCAATTATCACAACAGTTTACAATTTGTTCCCGTTTTGCTATTTCTTGTTGAAAATAATAATAATTTATTTTCTTTTGATTTTTACTTTATTAAAATAACTCGTTTTAATCGTGGCCTTTGATCATGAAAATTGATGGATGTAATTGGTTTGTATAAAAAGCATGGTTTGCAAAGTAAACCCCATATATATATATATATATATATATATATATATTTATATATATATATATATATATATATTTATTTATGTGACTGGTCTTATGAGAAAGAGAGTTAAGATGATAAGTGTAAGAAGGATCTGGACCCTTGGTCCCGGTCGGTTACGGTCTTGAGCCGGGCTCGGTTCCGGGCCTTCGTCAGTTACGGGCCGGGCCAGTTACGTTTGGCCATCTCTAAACTCAGCTATGAATCACATTTGATACAAGGATTGATTTAATGCATCTTGATGCATCTCATCCTACTGTGCATTCAAGGGTGAAGATTCATCCATGTGCTTCTCACCTTAAACTCCCATTCTCACTGGAACCTAACCTTATATTTCGGGTTTTCGAACTAATCGGATGACCAAAAACCAAACCCAACTTGAGCCTTATATTCCCCCAAAAGTCCGTTTTCAGATTTTTTGGATTTCGGTGCATTCAGGTTTTGTAAAAACACCTTATTTTCAGTCCGGGTTCATATTTCAGGTCATTTGGATATTGCATACTTCTAAGAAGGCACATAATATTCTTACACGACATTAAAAATTGGAAAAACCCTTTATTTAATATGTATTTTATTTCAAGATACTTGATTTTTAATCCATATATAAAAGTTTTTCTAATAAAAATTAAAAAACCAAGAATCATATTAAATTTCAGTGTAAATTACACTTCTAGTTCTTATAGACAATTTGTTCAAAGACCGACTAGTCCTTCATAATGATTCACAACCAACGTCGTTAAGTGGATGAACCATAAGTGTTATGGAAATGAAAAATTATAAACCACCAATATTAATAATTTGTTTTAGAGAACAAATTCACAATTTAAACAAACTACAAGAACCACCAATATAATTAACTCATTTTTAATATATTGGCTTCTATTAAAAAATAATATAAATTAAAATAAATATATCATTGTAAAACTATGAAAATTTTCCAAATGGTAGAAAAAATCAAAGATTTTAAATTGTTAATTTGGTATTAATATAAAAAGAGAAAAACTTGATTCGAAAACCTTTGCTCTTATGGATTAGATGACACACATTGGTTGGTGGTCATGGTTTGTTTGATGTCACGTGATTGTAATAGTTAAAAAAAATATATTATGAAGATGTTTGATTAGATGTATTAAACAGTAATTAATGAGAATGAAAATAAAAAAAAATGTTTGATTTTTTATAATATAATTAATTCATTCATTCAGAAGCCCAAAATTTTATTCATAGTTAAACTAGGGGAAATAAAAATTCATTTTCATTCCCTGTCATTTTCATTTTATTCGACATTAACAAAACAAACCCCGAATAATTTTCGATCAATAAACATTATTATATAGTTATTTGTTTTTAAAATAAAGTATATTTTGTAGAATGAACTTCACTTTTAGTTCATTTGTTTTTTTTTATTGGTTTAGTCTTTAGAGTTTATTTATTATAAATTTGTCATTCTAGTTTCTGATTTGTTTGATTTTGATCATTTTCACTGATGAATTTTGTTAATCCAGTTAACTAAGAGGGTATTTTGGTCTCCTTTTTTGGGTTTTTATATTATATCTTTTTCATGTATGTTCTCTCTTTCTCTTATTCTTCTCCCTCTACTTGACCTGCAACTTGACTCGCCCCTATAACGTGGATAACAATCATCTGTTTCAAATTTTCATGTTCTATCCATATCCACCAATCATATGAATACACAGAAGCAGATAAAGAAAGTAAACATTAAATAAATAAATGAGAATCTAATGTGTCTTAATTTCATTGGTAGAACATAAAATGAGACGTGTGATTTTGGGATAGGTGATTTCTATCCATCTCCTTCCACACCCCCCCCCCCAATCACCATCACACAACACGATATTAGTCCACTTTTAAGTTTTTTATATAAAAAATAAACCTATAACATATACACGCACAATTGAGACAGGTGAGAATCGATTTGGTAAGAATCGATAGAGATAAATGATTAATTAAGTTTAATCGATTGAGAAACACCATTGCTAAGAGTTTGAAGAACAATGAAAGATAAATAAGAGGTTGGTTTACCTCGTATCAAATAAGAGATGAACAAGACATAAGTGCCTCTGAAAATTTGAAAAAAAACAAACAAACAGTATGAATAACCCTACTTCTTAACTAGTCAGACATAATAGGCTAATAAGAGTTAGATGTGTGTATATGTGTGTACATGCTCATTAGAGGTGCGTTTTGGCTAGGTTTATTGAAAGTAAGTTCATATGTGTTTTAATTATTCATTAAAGATGTGTTTTAAATGTCATCGAGAATGTTGATGTGTTTGTGTGTGTTTCATCTGAGGTGTTCATTGAAGGTGATAATGAAGATAATATGGGGAGGGGGTTGACCGGTGAAAATAGGGATGGGTTGACGGTATACAGTCACATGTGTGTGTGTGTGTAATTTGTAATTGTGTATACTATACATAGAATATTAAATAAAAGACAAAAACATAAAAAATAATAATATTAAAATGAAGAAAATATATAAAAAGAAAAACGAGAATACCCCTTGTTTAATATATGGAAGAAGTTTACATCCGTTAGGAGGAGAGATCAAAATCGGACAAAAATACAAACTACGATGATAAATTTGTATTAAATAAACTTTAAGGACGAAAACCAATAATATCTTAAAAGCACAGGGACTAAAAATGAAGTTTACTTCTTTTTATTTATTAGAATGAATTGTGGATTTGTTCTCTATGGTTTGATGTTTTTTTTTTTTTTTAATTAGGGTCCTTACGATATATTTATTGTGGATTTGGTCTTTGTGATATTCAATTTGTTTTGATGATGGTTTATCTGACTAACGCCTCCATTAACTCAAGGGCCATTTTAGTTTTTTGCCTGTTCTTTTGTTTTTTTTTTCTATAAAAAAGTAAAATAATATTGTTAAACAACAAATATGTACATATATAATGATATCAAAATAAATAAAATAAGAAATTACTTTATAATTTAATTTGTTTAAATTAAAAAATCAATTATATTAAATATGATTTAATTTTATTGTTTTATTGTAATGGTGAGAAAATTTCATCTTTGTAATTTAAAATTGAACAAATTCCTATATAAACTTAAACCAGGTTTTCATACCGAAGTAGACAGAAATACTAAAACAATAAAATTAAATAGTATTTAATATAATTAATTTTTTAATTTAAACAAATTAATTAAAAAAATAGATGAGACTTGGGGGAGACAAACATATGGCCATTTGGGATTGGGGGAAACCATGTAAGACGAGAGTAAAAATATAAAATTTAAGCTTGTTAACAAACGTTTTTGGTCTTTGACTGAGGTCCTTTTCCCCAGTCTTTAAGGGCTAGATCTGCCTCTGACAACCCCCTTCATGGGTAGCCTGGAGTCACACATTTGAATCTCCGTGGTCACAAGAAAATTTTTATTTCTCATTGGATTCGAACCTAAGACCTCCATACACTTTTGACTTTTAAAGCCTAAGCTCAAACCAATCGAACACTGCCCTTTTAGTTTAACATGACAGTTTTATAAATAACTGGAGTTTTCTATACGTAATTTTTCCGTGTTATCAACGCTAAATGAACAACCCAAAAATTTCAACTTTTCCAACTATAGAAAACTTTCTCAAACTTCTTCATAGTTTTGTAACTCTTTAAAATCCTACCCATTTTTAATTTATATCATTTATATTATTTAAATAAAAAAGTAATTAATTGTTCACAATGTGTATTCAAATCTTTACACGATATTTTAGTGATCTGTAGTTTTTTTTTTTTTTTAAATGTGTAATATTGTGTTCGCAAGATGATCATAATGTATTAAAAAATAGATGATATATTTGATAATGGTTCACATTTTGATACTGTAGATGTAACTTTCAATATTTTACCTTTTTTTTTTTTTTGATTTTCTTATAAATATGTATGAATTTTAATATTATACCTTTTTTGTACATATTTGATGAAATATATGTTGATACATAGTATATATTTCACGTTATACAAAATCACACTGATCTCGTCTTCAACCGCACAATTGTCGATGACGATCGAAATGGCCACCGGAAAATTCTTCCAAGAAATACAGTTACCCGAGCAAAAATCTCAAGAGGATGGTGTTCTTTTCCCGATGGTGTTATCCCCGAACGCTATCACTGATTCTACTTCAATAGAACTCAGTGATTTCGAGGAGGCGATTAGAGCTCATAAGCCATGGTTGGAGTATCTTCTTCAGAAAAGAGGCGTTATTCTCTTTCGAGGATTTAATATTTCCTCACCTTCCGACTTCAACAACGTCGTCGAAGCTTTCGGGTTCCCTGAAATGCATTACGCGAGTGTCGGTGGCCGAGCTTCTAGAACCAAAGTCGTTGGACGGGTTTACACCGCCAATGAATTCCCTCCCGATAAGGAAATTCCTTTCCATCACGAGATGGCTTACGTAAATTCCCCGACTATTTACATATCCAACTGCGTTCTTAATTTTATTTTTATTATAACCATGAGAGACGATTAGCGGAATACGAGGTTCCAACATATAAAATGAATAAACTTTGGTATGGTACTAAGTTTTATTTTCCAATACGATGTACCAACCAATTATAATTGGTATGCAAAAATTAATATTATGTACCAACCAACTCTACTTGGTACCAATTTTTTTCCGGTTGGTACATGTTGGTACAAGTCTGTACCAACTTCAAGTAACACATATGATATTTAAGGGTTTTTAATTATAAAATATAAGACTTGCAAATATTCAAAATGTTCAAACATAATAGATAAAAATACAGTGTTTAATATTTAATACATAAAAAAACTAAAAACTAATAAATGATTAAAAAAGTCAGTACTATGGTACTTAGTACAGTACTATCAACCAACTGTAATTGATACTAATTTAATTAGTACGATTGGTACACATGTTGGTTGGTTTATTTTGGTACAAAATTGTCACGCCTATTATATACAAAAGAAATAGTCAAAGTTTAGCTGATGTAGGACTCCGACACGCCCCCTCCAAAGAAGGCTAGCTGGACACAACTTGCCCCAAAATGTCAAGAGGGAGCTAGCCAGAGTGTCAGATCCTTAGAGTGACAGACTTTGACTCTGGTACCATGTGAGAAAATGATCATGGAAGCTATTTAATTGCTTCATTGTTGCTTAAGTTTCTTATGTTGAATTTTTCAATTTGTGGATAGATTTCGAGTTTCCCTAGCAAGTTATTTTTCTTTTGTGACGAAGAACCACGAAAAGGGGGAGAGACTCCGGTAGTTTTGAGTAATATCATATACGAAAAGATGAAAGAGAGGCACCCGGCGTTCGTTGCTAAGCTAGAGGAGCACGGATTGACGTATATAAAGTTAGCGAGCGAAACAGACGATCCATCATCCTTCACTGGCACTGGTTGGAAGACAACATACAATACTGATGACAAGAAAGTTGCTGAAGAAAGGTAATACAAAGAAAGTTACCTTAAAGGCATCTCTGGCAACCATGAACTATCTATTTTTTTTAACTCACGTCCTAAAAAGACTTTATAAGTCTTCTTTATAGGACCAAACCAAAAAACGTCTTATCTAAAAGTGTTACAATAAGTTTATAGGACGTTTTTATGTGTTATAACAAGTTGTTTATAATGTTTTTAAAATAAAGTGTTATATTATTTCAATAAGTGTTGTATAACAAAAGTGTGCCATATGAAAAGATGGATTTATATGGCATTTTTCAAAAGTGTTCTGTAAAATAACTAACAAGACACTTTATTTAAAAGCGTCATAAAAACCTGGTCAAAACGCTTAAAAGCTTTTTACAAAACCTATTGTAATGTTTTTAGATAAGATGTTTAATAGTTTGATCATATAAACCCGAGTTCTATAAAGGGTTCTATTAAGATGCTTAGGGCCCACTTGTTAACAACTTAATTAGTTTGATGAGACTCACAACTTATGTGGTCAGCTATACATGACTGTTTGGTAGTGGCTTAATAATGATATTGAAAGTGTTTTATTCAGTAAGCTCCAAGAGAAAACTTTATGCAGAAAGACAAGTTTTTTCAGAACCTTCCCTCATAATTAAAAAAACACTTTTCTTTCATCTATAAAACACCCTCTTCCAAACAAAAACCTTTTCAATCTATACAAACAAATTAATCACACAGACAGCTTTATTAATAAAGTATTTAATGAAAAATCAACCAAATAGCCCCTTAGGCGGTCTAGACATCCTATAAAGCCAATTTTGTTATAGTGACTTAGGGGCTGTTTGTTTGGCTCTTAATGGTTACATTAAGAGCCAACCTCTTAATCGGTCAGAGGTTGAAGTTGTTTGGCAAAAAAAAATACCTCTTAATGGTTACAATCCCCCTCTTAACCATTTTGCATCTAGGGTACCGCTCAACGATTCAGATTACCGATTCTTCCCTATTTACCCTTCCATACCCTTTACCGCTGCAGTCTCGTCTCCTTCACCATTGTCATCGCAGAAGCC